CGAGAAGATTCCCAGCGTCACGCTGATGGCGACGTTGCACTGCTGGATGGGTCCTTCAGCGATCACACTCAACGAGATAGTAATAATGGTCGATAGTTATAGCTCTTAGTTAGGTTAGGTTAGGTACGAGAAATGGCTTACATGTCGCACGTATACGACCCCCTTCAATTAGTCGTCGTGTCTCCTAATTCGTTATTGACACCAAGCCAATGCTGTGGAAGCAGCGCTTATATGAAATACGAAGAGTTTCGTATAGCTAATCGTCTGATGTGCTGGTTGTTCTTTTATGATAATTATATAAACTTGGGCTATAGCAGCGCTCGAATCGGATCAATTTAGTTCCGGACGTGGTAATTGTAACTTATCCAAAGGAGCGATCCGTATAGAAGCAACTATATAGTGTGCACGATGTTTTCCAAAGTATACAGTACGTTTGGTATCTATACCAAACGTACCGACGCGATGTATGATGAGATCAAGGGGCGTATTGTTTTAGCGCATCGGCCTCATTTCGCCATCGCTATAACCCCTGCAGAATTCCTGAGTGTGAATCAATCCGACAGCGTTGAAGTGCTCGTCGCTGTATAACCGCAGACTGCGGGGTATTGATGCCACTGGAGGCATCGCGATTATTGCCACTGGCAACCGTTGTCGTAGCCAATAGAAGCAATCGCAGTAGCGGGAGTTACGCTGCTACTACTGCGATTGCCGTATTCTTTTCAGTCACTCATGCACCTGGCTGCCTTCCTGGCCATTACTGTAGTTGGCCAAGCAACTATTCGGTCGCCTACGAGTCGAAGCGGCGGCGGCGGCGGCGGCAGCGGCGGCGGCGGCGGCGGCGGTAGCAGCAGCTGATAGAGTGAGAGATGTCGCATCAAAGGAAAGGTGCCGACCAACATCGTGCGGCAATCGCCTTTTATCTCTGGAGCTCAAGCGCCGACGGATGGATGGATGGATGGACGAGAGAACGCTTAACTGAACGGTGATGTGGTGCTGTCGCTCCAACCTGCGACCACGATGACTCGGCCTGTAGCTGTGCCTACCTACTGTGTTGTTGCTGATGCAGCCGACGCAACCAGGACGAAAACGAGCGGCCAAGAGAAGCGATGAAAAACAGAGTTAAATTGACACCGACGACACCCTCACAGCTTCAGGCCGTCGCAATAAACAGCTTGGCATACAGACTCAGACACACACACAAACATTCACACAGGTACTCATACATACGTACATACATTCATACGTAAAATTCTCGAACGTAAAAATTGTAGCTGCGGTAAACTATAGAAGGAGGAAAGGCGATGAATTCACTTCGCATATATGACCTTTAACAGGTTGAGTGGCGTCAAGTTCAATGATATCGCAGACTGAAAGGAATCAGCTCAGACTAGGAGATCTGCTTGTTGCCCCTTTCGGCCGGCGAAGTATCGATTGTGACAAACTTCACGCCGATGTTACCGTAAATAAATAATCATTAATTCAGGCCAAAAACCTTACAGACAGCCATGAGGTATCTCGTGTCATACGTGCGATATTTGAGCCGCTGAACACTACTCGCTGTCAACAGCCGAATTCGAACCTAGACCAGCAGATGTCGCTATTCTTTGTCGTAGGAAGCTCTATTAAACACGGGGGAGATGCGTTAAATTCTGGTATGCTTGTCACACTAGGAAGCCAGTTACCCGTCTGATGGGTGATCAGAAAATTTAGTTTGGTACTCGATACGGTATTGAGGTCAATCAATGGTACAGAGAGTAGGATTGTTTGTTGTATGTCAATTTCAAAGAAACTGACATTGCAAACGTTGACTAACGACGATTTACTTACAAGCGTTGTCCTGTAGATTCCTCCTGCTAGTGTAGAGTGCAATCGCTCCCTCATCGCCCGCGCGTCTAGCGTAGAGGTCTCAGCTCGTTAACACTGCCGTCTCACTGATCATTAAGCCAATTTATCAACCTCTTTCACAGACAAGTATATTACACACGTTATCGACGTTGATAACCGATTAGTTAGCAGAGAACTTCTGTAGCTCTCCGAGCTTAGGTTAAGATTCCTTCCTGTACCTCCAAATCATCGCAGGCGTTGCAGGAGCTGACGGAACAGCTCCATACACCGAAATCGAACAACCTGTCATTCGTGCTTTTTATCTGCGGTCGATAATGCCTTCAAGGCAGAGGTATAAGTACAAACAGGATCCACTATTCTCATTTAGAAGTCTCCAGTTTGCTCGTATGAGTACTCCGAGCTACTGAAATGCGTTGTCCACTTCACTTTCACAATCACTGCCGGCAGCAGTCAATAAAATTGTGCAATTACACTAAATAACAAATTGCAAACCAATGATGGTTTTGTCGTTGTATAGTTAACAATCATAGTTAATCTTCCCGAGAACTATTTACGGAATCAGAAGCAGAACTAGCGTTTTCTCCTACTCTAGTTCATTTCTATCTTGTGAGTATCACATGAGGAGTAGGCTCAACGGAAGAACATGCGACCGCCACTTTCGCCAGTAGCTCGGCGACTGGTCGGCGCAGATGAGCTGGGTACTCTTTGGCGGTTTTCGGTCTGTTTTGTGTGGGTATCTGGTAACAGTGCGCGTGTGCATCTCTCTATCTACCTATCTATCTGTCTATATGTATATATATATATATATATATATATATATATATATTTATATCCTCCGAAGGCAGGCGCGCCACGTGACCGGCCACCGACCCAACCACTCTCCAGAGGACCCAACAGAGCTCCGCCCGCAAAGGAGAGAGGAGCAAACCCAAAGGGGAGGAACCTCTGCGCCCCGCGCGGTTTTCGTGGCGTGCGACTTGACATATAAATATTGTTCACATTATATTGGGGAACGCACAAGAAACTATCTGTATTTACTACTCAATTATGAACAAACGGAGCGAAACTAATGGATATAAGATTAGAGCAAAGCTAGTTAATAAAATGTTTGCTGAAAAGCCAGAAGCAAGATTCGGTAGCAAACAATACACTTATTACGATCTTACGACAGTTTTGCCAGTATAAGACCAGTTTACAACTTTAAAATCTTTACTTTTAATAAAAAATAATATAAACTTGTAGTGAAGTTCATTGTAGTCATAATCACAATGAGAACGGCAATATGACAGCTATTAGAGCATTTGTAAACACACGTTAATGCGACTACGGTCCTCCTAGACTGAAACTGGAACGTATTTATAGTAAGTTGGGATTTTTTTTCAAGCAGCAAAATAACTCTAATGAACGAATGATTCATTGATAAATAGTTGACATACTCCTAGTTTTTGCCAGTTCTATGTAATCGGAAATAACTTTGGCTTTGTCATCTTGAGAGACATCAACTGGCAGCGAAAGAGTATTACGTGCATTTGAAAAGAGGTCTAGCCGGTGCTCCGAAAAAGCCAATTTCGAAATATTACGTTATTTGTAAGCGCAAAAACAAAATGGCGCTTTTAATGTAGTTTCGCAAGTTACAAATAATTCGCTAAGAAGCTCGTAGGGTGGAAGGCGCTCTGCTGATGATGAGTGGAAACATCTTAAGTTAAGGGCGATTTGTCTCAACGAAGCGAATAGTATCGTAAATCGATAATATCGAAAAGTCTGTTTATCGACAGTTTTATCGACAGAAAAGGGTTTATCGACAAGGGTAGCGTGTGGCAAGAGGTTTTTTAAAGTGCACAAAGTAAATTTCTTATTTTTTTTTATTTCAATGCGCTGTTAGCGTCAACGTTCGACTGTGTTCACGCTGGCGGACCTGCAAATCCTACAGGTATGCCACTTAATAGGACTTCGTAGAGGCAGAACCAGTCGAGTGGAACGTACGCGATACGCTCTACCGAAGTGACGTGGCGGACCGTGCACGGTGTGATTTTTTGCTCAAATCTCTTTGAGTGTCCGGGAATTATCCGTAGCCTAGACCATATTTAAGCGTGTTGAGTTCCTCTTTGACGATACGCATCTGCAGTCCGTACAATCCATATAATCAAAGATTGGCGTGTACACGGAGACAAGCGTGTGGATCCCTATGCGATGCAATCTTAACAACCCTAAATACTAACATTAACGGTCGAAAATATATTATATTCATATTTTCACAATGTGTGATGCTTGTGTGTTCATTTAGTCATGTGTGTGTGTGTGTTATAGACAATAGAGTATCCGTATTGCATTATATAGCGGTTCATTCCTCCTCCATCCACGAATTTCTCTCATCTCTATTGAATTCCATTATTAATTTAGACAGTTAGCATCTAGGTGGCGTGTATGATCGTCTGCGACTATATGTTCTTTGCCGAAATAACAATAATATCTACTAGCAGTATAAAATCTGTCCTCGATTGCCAAGCGCTTACAGACAATTGTTGTCGTCAGGGAAATTGATTGAATTATAGAAAAAATAGAAATCAACACATTGATCGTTCCTAGATAAAATCAAGAGGTGCGGTCGAATAGATGCATGCGTGGAAACCAGAGGGCGCGCATTCGCGAAAGATATGAGTGCCTTTATAGCGGCTGGTGACTACGGATCGTTATGTGGGGATGCAGAAAACAACGTCACTGGGCCGCAACTACTAAGATAAACCCTAAAGCAAACAGATGTAAGTACACAATATATTAACAGTAAAAAATAAATATACACTCAAGAAGTTTGCGAAAGTCTTTTGTGTATGCATTTGCGTTTAACATGTGTGTCTACTTCTCTAAATCTATGAAAAAAACATTCAGGTCAATTGAGGCGCGACTCTCCTTTGTTAAATACCAAACTGCCAGATAAAAAGCCCCAAAAGCATCACATTACGTAGAACTCCGTCAGCTGTAACTTTTTTTAGCATTGATTGATTGATATTATTGTTGATAATAGTGTTATGTGGCGCCATTGAATACACATTACCCAATAGCGGTAAATGACGACCCTCCTGACTATATGACAACACAATGTTCAACCCTATCTACTATAAGAATACTTAAACCTTAAAACCTGAGCACTCTATGACGCCGCTTATGCTTCACTGTTATATTAAACGAGGAACGTCGGTGCAGTGTTGCCAGCTGTTCCTTTGCTTCAGCGGTCAGTATCTCTGTTTCAATGAAGGATTGTTTTTTACTGCGCTTGCCCAGCATCATTGGTACGTTTAAATTAATATTCAGAATTAACAGAATGATGAGAAATTCACAACTAACAGTTGACTTGGTGATGTTCCGTTACTGTGTACCATAAGGAATCTTTCATGTTGTGGTGCATATTATGCCTTACGAATGCAGTGGTCGAGATGATCCGCAATGTTCCGGGGGATCCAATTTTTAAGTAAGAATCTAGTGAAGTGAAAAGGGGGAACCGCTAAAGGTTTAGAATGATTGCAACATTCGGATCGCTTTATCGACGGATCTATCTATCTATCTATCTATCTATACTCATGCAAAAGTTACGATGACGCACACTTTCAATTTCTCTCAAGTTGTATTTTTCTCTGCAAACGTTTCTCTGTCAGATAAAATACACGTACCTTCTGATTGCCTTTTGAGTATTCTATTTTGATTTTTTTTTAGATCTATCTAAACTTACTTCCTACACATGATATTGTTGAGAGTCTGTTTTCTGCTAGGTAGATTAATAATGGTGAATTAGGCCGCAGCCTTTGCACCTCATTCAAATGTCAAAATAAGCAAGTTTCGTTTAGATAATTATTTTGGCTTTGAAGTCTTCTTGATCTAGTCTACTTCATCGCTATCACGTTTTGAAGAAAAAATTCAAGGAGAGGCATAATAGAATAGAATAGCATTTGAAGTAGCAAGTTCTCAAGAACATTACCAATATCAGCATCTATTACAAGAAAGATATAATCTCGTTATGCTGTATCATTATACCTTTTCAGCCTAATCTGCAGATGATCGAATAACGTAAATTAAGGCCATGCGCGTCTATGCTGTAATACTTTCCACTGAACGTAAGTGAATGTTACTGTAGAGCCACGCAATACTCAGCGTAGGTCAGTGATGACCGATGAGGGCACATTGCATCAGATAAATATGAATTATCATCGTAGGTATCAGGCCGAGACCGTAAGGCCATCACGTTATAGTACCATTCTCTTAAAGCTGCTGCCATTCCTCTGGATGTCAATTGTTTAAACTAATTCCGAAGCAGTCAGAAGTGCTAATGTTACTAACGGTATGATATAACACAAGCATGCAAAGAAGGTACCAATACGGGATGAAGATATTATCGAAAATTTGTTACTATTACATCCAGTGATGCGGCATCTAAAGGCCCTGTGACAGCCGACGTTGTTCCTCGAAGCACCAACTATCAATATTCGTATCTGCTACTAGCTTGGCGTGGCACGTAAGAACTAACAAAAAAAAAAAAAAAAAAGTGAGAAACTTACGAATAATTCTCAAATGCGACGCAGCGTTTAGGTCGTGTCAAGCATAACTTGGATGTATCGTCTGCATGTGCAAACGAATGGAGATGGAAACAGTATTGATGGTTTGTCTTTTCACAAATTCGAAAACACGAAACAGGGCAAATATTTGGCCTCTAGGCCAGCATGCGTTATTAAGGTGTCTAGTACATAGTGATAAGCAAGGACGGAGACCTTCCCCGCATTTGGATTAAGTTAACTGGTCTTGGCTCTCTTCCGTGTCATTGAAGTACCACGTCGACAAACACTATTAATAAATGTACTTCTACGCGCCCTTCATTTATTGTGTGCGAGCTCCACGATACGTTGGTGGCAGTTTAATTGTTCACCTATTTTTTTGAGTAATTTATTCGAAGGTAGGTTCTGAAAGCGGGTTCTCGACCGTATTAAATGGTTAATGTGCAAAATGTCGTACAGCCACCGCGGTGTTCCTTCATCCACCGAAGAAGAAATGTCAGAGTTAAAATGTCCGACCTCAAGTGTTTTTGTGCCATATCTAGTGGTAGGCGATGTCTTATACGGTGACTTAGTTTCAACATTGATTATAATTTTTGTCGTCCATTCATCGATAATGAACTAATCAACCTAATGCATATCCCTCGTTCTGTTCGACCCACCTTTACCGTGCTGTTACATCGTGAAAATAATAAGGCGTTGATTGAAAACGCTTTTTTTTTGTGTTGATGATTATGAAGTGACGACTGGGATCGTTCGTCCATCGAGGGAGCTGGTCTGTTATATTTGTCTGTGACCGAAAGATCCAGATATACGAGTATTTAGCTGCGCTAATTGTTTCTTAATAGAAATTCCCATTCTATTAAAACGGTTCGGGCAAGACTTGATTCTGTCATTTTTATTTGTGCTCCGTAGCGTTAGTAAACTCATAAGCAAATATACTATGCTCATGATACTAGTCTTGTCTTGATACATCATTGCCGTATTCGGCCGGTTTTATTTTTTTCCTCTAAGGATACACAAGCACCATATTTAGGCCTGCACACCTGAACTGCACACATGACGCGTTGCCATCTACGTTGAAGGTGTTCAATTTGTACAATGGAAGTCTTTCAGCGGACGTCGCATATTGGACCTGCTCATATTTTGAATTTGCGTTAGCCAAGCTCTTATACGTTGGCAGCGTTTACGAGACCGCAGTTTACGCAACGCAATGTCTCTGCCTATTTCCTTCCTCGGTCAACAACGGCTCATCATGGACAACCACATCTTGGCCTGATATTGACATCGATCGAACATCTACTCTGCAATTTAATGCGCCTCGTGTCCACACGAACATTACAGTGACTATATATTTTCTTCCTATAAACCAAGTCACACACTCGTTTATATTTTGAACATTTTGATCTAGTTAGCCCAAAGAAAGAGATACAATATAAATGGGTATTATGTTGACAGTCAAGTTGGTCCTAAAGTATCAAAGTAAACTGGGGCTTAGTGCATTAAAATGCCAGCGCAACATTCAAGCGTCGTTGGGAAATGCTCGACAATCACTATTGGTAGCAAAAGCAATACAAAGAGCTTTGGGTGGGCATTGTTCAAAAGAGATACGTGTATCATTTCTCGTAAACAACTTAAATTTTCGTTACAGGCTCCCTGTCATCGCCGAAAGCGACACTGGCATCTCGCAGAAGATCTGAAGGTCGCCGGCATAAAAACGCGTAATACCTCAGCTGAATTTGAGGGAAATGCATTTCCGCTTCACGGCACGGTTTGGGGAGCATTTACTAAAAAATGAACAAGGCCGCGACCAGAAACCCCGGCACGTATATTGAGAATTATATATATTAGTGCTGCTAACAATGAGTGATATCAGTTGGTTATCATACACGTATGCTCACGAGACAATTAGTTGTTAATAAATACGTTTAATTACATTTGGTACAAACGTTTGCTATCTATTGACGGGTCAAACTGACACATACCTGTATCGTGCACAAGCTTCTACTCATTTACCGTTGTTGTTAATAGATATTTTACATGCAATGTACGAACCGAAAATATGAAGATTAATGCTTTAAGCACTTGAAGGACCACAGGTTTGCATCACCATTTCTGACCCTGTCGAAACCTAGTGCTGACGGAGCCTATAATGAGCAGACTGTGTGCACTACGACACACTGAAGCTTAGTTTTTCAATAAATTGCTAAAGTCGGCCTTTGTTGCATAGAAGACCAATTTCTGCATGGCAGAATTGAGCTACTAATAATGTTAAGCAGCCTTCCTCGTAACTATTTTGCAACTTCATTTAAATCTAAGCGATTCATTTTGCTATATGAGACCAATAGAGAAATGCGCGTTCTTTGTGAGAGATGAACGTACTATTTTTATAAATCAAATCAAGTGGAGGTCCGATGCAACGAACCCACACATAGGCATAACGCATGCAGGGCTGTACTTCGTTATCTGAATTGTGCACGTTTTCTTAATTCAAACCGTTTATTTAAATATGTATACATAAAATAATATATAATTTTTGTCAATAACAATGTTTCTATTTTGTAGGAATCTTATAGAGGGCCAGTCCAGACGAAACAAGTAGCAGCTACGGGAGATAGACAATGCGCGCGTTGAGTAGTTTCGAAATCATACGACGACTTGTTGTTATAGACCGCTTCTTTCACAGGCCCACCGGTCTGCTCAGCTCAGCTGTTTTGTGCCGGATCTTTGCGAAGTAAGTATGAATCTTTGATAGGTTAATAATTGAACTTATAATTAAGTTTAAGTTATATTGCGAATAATCTTTGCGGCATTCAATCGTTACTTCCAGCGAGCAGGATTTTATTATTTGTTGAAATGAAATAATCCTAAAATACAGCTCAGTAGTTAACTAACTGTTAGCCTATTACGAGTTTGATAAGAAAAAAATTAAGTTTATCGATGGATAAATGCTGAACGCAAATGCTGGTGGCACTAACGGAAAAAGGATAAAAACCACCGACAGACTGAGGTTCTACCGCTTGGACGTACCCTGCTAGTCATCGACAGGAATATAAACCGCTACTCAGAACAATAAGTGAGACAGTAACGCGAACAGAGGGTTCGCGAGGTTCTAATGCTTCATTAACGTATCGACTTCATGTACATCGTATTAACAGAACGTATTTGACTCTAATGAAAGCAATCGTCGATCGAGTGTTGGACGACCTTCTGAAAAAAGTGTAAACACTATGTGGGTTCTAACGATTTCTCTTGATGAATATTTATAGAAGCAAATCATGTTGACTTACCCTGGCGGTACCTAGCGCCCAGGTGATGCTCTTAAAACGAAACCCATGACCGCTGAAGGTACCACACATTAGCGAAGATGCGAATCGACGTCGACGGCTTGGAGGTCCTCTTCCCGTACGGTTACATTTATCCTGAGCAGTACAGCTATATGCTCGAGTTGAAGCACTGCCTTGATGCTAAAGGACATGGGGTCCTAGAAATGCCATCGGGAACCGGAAAAACTGTTAGTAACAAGACACGTTGCTACTATCTAAATAACATTTAAAAAAAGACTAACATTTAAGAGACTTTCATGAGCGCTTCGTTTTAAATCAACGGCTGAAACCAGAAGCATCTGGTAATAGTATATTTAGCAGGTGTCCATCTTGAAGCGCTGCTTGAACCCAAGCTAGCCTCTATTAACTAACGTTGGTAGCGCGCTTATTTTCCAGTAAGATCTGACTATCTATCGACGTTTCCATATGCCCTACATGAACTCAACGATAATAGCTAGCCGTATTACTAATGTCAAACTAAATCTATTTGTATAAGCATATATATAAGTAAACCACGCCTATATATATATATAGTGTGGCTTCTATGAGAATCTTCATTTTTAACAGAAATATTGGTTGGTTTGTTTCTTCGAGAACAGGTTACTCTTCTTTCGTTGATCGTAGCTTATCAGAAAGCACATCCACAACGGGTCAGTAAGCTTGTGTACTGTTCACGTACGCTGCCCGAGATTGAAAAAGTCGTTGAAGAGGTACGGGCAAGCTTTGATTAGATGGAAAGTAGTACAATAAATACATTCCCATATAACCATAATCACAATTTTCCATTACTGAAATTTGCATACTATGATAATGCTTATGACTATTCTAGTTAAGCACTATTATGCCTGTGTCCTTATTTCGCTGAACGAAGGCACGTACTTAAGTCATTACATTGACCCTACTGTTTGTGCAGGTGCGTCGTTTACGTGAGTACTATCGCAAAGAGGGTGCAGTCGCTTCAAATCCATCACACGACATTTTGGCGTTGTGTTTGACATCTCGGAAGAATCTCTGCATTCATCCTGTTGTCTCCGAAGAGCGCGATGGCCGCGTTGTTGACGCTAAATGCTACGCAATGACCTCAGCCTATCGACGAGGTGAAGAAAGTGAGCCAGAGACAGCTGGCGCTGGCACCTGTACATTCTACGAAAGTTTTGACACACATGGACGAGAAATGGTATTACCGCCCGGTGTGTACGGCATTGACGACCTGAAGGAATACGGTCACAGAAACTATTGGTGTCCGTATTTTACCGCTAGAAATGCGATTATGCACGCCAATGTGGTCATCTACAGTTACCACTATCTGCTGGATCCAAAAATTGCTGAGATTGTGTCCAAGGTAAACATGCCATTGCCAACACGTGTTTCGCAATATACTGAAGAACAACTTTCCTAGGGATAGCAAAAGGATAACACTAGAACATTTGTGCTCGTACGATCCTGTTGTATGGCTGAAGTTTAACAGTGAAGTAGGCACGCTTAAGATGAGTGCGGATTGGCTATTTTCAGGATCTGAGTTGTAGCAGTGTTGTTGTATTTGATGAGGCTCATAATATCGACAACGTCTGTATCGATGCCATGAGTGTAACTATCAATCGGAAAATGTTGGATATCATCAACGCAAATCTCGTCGTTGTCGAAAATCGCGTAAGACACATTCGCCAGACTGATGCTGGACAGCTGCAAGAAGAATACAACAAACTGGTAATTGGACAACTTGCTTTACATGTGAAAAACTTAAGTAGTAGCAACGCTGCTATTTTTTTGGTAATCTCCCCCTAGAGTTATTTTACCCATTGAACGTATCCAAACGTTAATCTATCAATAGATGCACGCTAGCAACTATATAGGATCAGGACGAATATCTACGCCAGTCTACTTCGTTTCGCTTGACCAAATGGGAAAAAATTCCGCACTGATTCCTCTGATCCTTTCGATGAAGGCGGCTGGTTAGGGCGGCTTTTTGCCGCTACGAGTCGAACGGGAGACGTTGAACGGGAGGGTTTGCATGCTACTTAGGGCTCGTACTCAACGTGTTCCTGACTATTATTTGAAAATAGGCTACTACTCTGTGAACTTCATCACAGCGGCTAAGGTTAATTCTTAGGCAAAGTTCAAGTGCTGGAAATTAGACAGCCGCTCTTGGAAATACGCCCAGTAGAGTGGGCATGCTAGGTGCCAATGCTGTTCGGTGAAAGGGTATTTGCAGCAGGTTATAAAGACAAGACAAACCGAAGTAATAGGTTTGACTTGTCCTAGTACTGAAGCGCGGAAGGCCATGGGGAGGGGGATGCGTCAAGCGACGTTCCCGTCGTGTCGTTGAAAGTAACACCTTCAACCTTCCAGAAAATAGATCAATCGATACGATTGATCTATTTTCTGGATGGCTGGTCGTAATAAGGATATTGCAGGAACGATGAAAGCTCCATAGGTTCAGCCGCAGAGAAAACACCCATGTCGGATCAATCCTGCACGAAGGAGCCAAGACGTTGTTGTTTCCGATCTGTCATTGAGTTTTATGTCCAGTATCGTCGTTAGGCATTTTGTAACACGGCAGGCTCCCGACGCGAAAGCAACTCTGTCTATGCCCAGTTTCGAACCCAGACCACAACGTGTCCCAAAAAAGATTAGCAGGCAAACACGTTACCCACTAAACTATCACAAGGATTCATTCGGAGTGCTATCCAACCGGCACGCCGTCTGAGGGCGAGCTATCTTTTGGAGCGGAGGGTATGAACTTGCATGTGAGTAACACTAACACTCCGGCTGAAGCGTGTGCTGGCTTGCGCGAGAAAGCCCTAAAAGTAGGTTCCTTCATGCGAGACTAAAAAAATCCATCGTTGAAGAAAATGTTAAAATCAATTTTACCGATAACGTTGAGTACTGCCACGAGACCAGGATGTGCCTCGGATGTGTGAAGTTGTATTAATTGCGGATTCTTAGAAATAATAGCGGACATAGGTAACATTCAGACTGAGCCACCAACATCCTGACCACTTAGTATATTCCGGGGCCAGTGTAAAAGCGCTTTAGTACTCGTTGCAGTTTCTCGGATTCCAGCATGTAGATTGGCGTTGCCTGAGCGAAGGAGGGTGATCGTGGAGCAGCTAATGCTTCCCACAATCCGCAGTAGCGCTCAGTTCCTTTCGATTCCCCAGGACACCTCTTAGACTTAACAAGGTCTAGTAAAAATCCCATCCAGAAAAAGGCCACATTGTTGTGCTCCTTGAACATCTGACTCTAAACCTTTTTAGATTTCAAGCCAGGCATTGTCAGGAGCCACGTATCTCCAACAAATACTTTCTACGTAGTATTTATTTATTACTTATCGAATCTGGCTCGTTTTAGGGTATCTGGTCTCGAAACGATTCTACCCAGCATACACATTCTTGATTTAGACGTTGGCGACTAATCCCGTAAGGCTTTAGCTATACACCAGTGCATCCGGTGGTTGCCCACAAATTTCACTAGTTCGATGGCAATGACGCACTAAGGCGGTTCACAGGTTATCACACTGGCAAGACATCTTGTAGAAACCTGTGAAACTCAAAAAGCAGTTCGACGTTTCCTTATAGAATAAACTTTCTCCTGCAACATACTGCTAGTTGTCAGACAGCGTGTGTTGTATTTTGCCGCTGGGGTAATTTTTCCGCTAAATTAAATGGGCCTTAGACTCACCGCACGCCCCCCTTGCTGTCCATTCGAACGACGATTTAGCTGGGTTTGTTAACAGTCTATAAGCTAGTCTAGGCAAGATTTTTGCAACAAGACCCGGATAGCTGAGCTGCTTCCAATGTCTTAATCCATTGTCCTGTTACAAGTAACTGAGATATGATTGTGTCTCACGTATGACCCGCCCCTTTTACGCTGTCTGTTTCACTTTCCCCTACGATCCTTAGCCTCACAATTTGGCCGACCATTTCATTCAGAAAATGACAAACCTCTTTTCAACTCAGCATCGCTCTGCTTTCGCTGCCGCCAATTGTAAGAACGACGCGCTAATATCGGCGCAAACGCGTTTTACTTACTGTACATTTCGTTTGTACACAGTAACAGCGGCGAAAATACCTCGAACTTGGTAGAGATGATTCGTAGGGATTGGTAATCAGCGCTATTTAAGCACCCATATATATATATATATATATGGGTGCTTAAAGCATTGACTGTTTCTCTAGCTAGATGAGTTTATAAAGATAATACGAGTCGCGTTAAGTGTACGACCTCTTCAAAGCTGAGATTTGCGGTGAAAGATATTGGAAAAGCGAAACGCCTATTATCAGATTTAAGCACCTTGAAGCGCCTCAAAGATGGGTGGAATGTCTGCAAAACTTTGATACATTTTAAAATGTCATTATGATAAACGCACAAATGCTGAAGATGCATTATATACTTAAAATAGATATAGTAATAGAAAAAAAGGTGCAACAGGTAAACAACATTAAAGCCTTCAACCATGCGGCTTCAATGTTAGCCTCTGTACCATACCAAAGCCAAACGTTTTTAGACCGATTGTGAGACAGTCCGGTAATTGTATCTGGACGGTGGTGCATGATTCTGGTCATGCAAAATTGCTGGCTAACATATCCACTAACCCGTTGACTATTACCGCTAGCGTTACATTAGCAGTATTTCTTTGCTATTTAATATGATTCTGTGTAACAAATAAACTTTGAATACCTCGGAGTTATGACGAAATTCCATGTTGTTGTTGTTGTTATTGTCGCAGGTTGCTGGCCTTCGAACTGCAGCTCAGGCTCGTGCTACGGATATCATTATGCCAAATCCTGTCTTGCCAGATGAAGTCCTCCAGGAGGCTGTGCCGGGAACAATAAGAACTGCCGAACATTTTACTGCGTTTCTACGGCGACTTTATGAGTACGTCAAGTATCGTATGCGAACGACCCACGTTATTCAAGAATCACCGGCGGCATTTCTTAAAGATATTAACAAACAGGTACCAGGCTAAATGAAAGGCGTATATCACGATGGGCATATCAAAATGAAATTTATATTTGTCGCTGACTAGAATGTGTCGAAAGTCTTATTGATCAATGTTTTTTACCAATGAGAACTACGGTCGAGAAAAGTAAAATATAAATGCATCTACATACTATATATAGAAGGGAGTTCGACAGTCGCTTGTATGTACAGCCCTTCCATCGGCTACGATTTCACCGAATTCATTTTGACTGGTTACTGCTGAATGGTGAGAAATGTAGGGGAGATTCGATTGTTCTGATAGTTAGAAACGCTTGCAAACTGCATGGTCCTGAATAGAAGATAGCAGCCAGAGTTAAGATGATTAAGTCTTCATAGTTTTTTTCAAGCTTCAATTGACTAAGTCCGTTATTATCCGTCGCATACGGCGTCTCTATCTCTAGGTTTGTATTGAACGTAAACCGTTGCGATTTTGTGCCGAACGACTCGCAAGCTTACTTCGCTCCTTAGAAATCTCAGATGTAGCAAATTTTTCGCCACTTGTCCGACTTTGCCATTTTGCTACCCTGATCTCAACATACACAAAGGGCTTTACTCTCATCATTGAACCGTACGACGACAGAACGCCCAACATTCCCAATTGCACGTTGCAGGTATACTGACCTTCTCTGTATATTGCTTTGTATATCTATATTGCAGAAGATACGTAAAATGTTCACAACTTCATATTGAATTGAATCAGATTTATCTCTTTGAAGTCGAAGTTTGATATGAACTTAACGCTCAGATGATGTCTTGTCGCACCATGTAGCTGAGTTGTATGGATGCGTCCATTGCTATAAGGCCAGTCTTCGAGCGTTTCCAATCAGTAATCATTACTTCGGGAACGCTTTCACCGTTGGATATGTATCCGAAGATTCTCGCGTTTCATCCCATCGTTATGGCTTCATTTACAATGACCCTAGCCCGACCTTCAATCTGCCCGATTGTTATCAGTAAAGGAAATGATCAGGTATGCTTTGTTATATTGATCATCTCAGGCAAAGTATACAATAGCTAGAAAAGTCCTGACAATAATTATATTTATGCTACATTTATGTCACTACAAACCCGCTTTAAATTTTTTGTTCCAACTATAAGGTTGCAATTTCATCGCGTTATGAAAATCGTGATGACATGGCCGTCATCCGTAATTACGGCAATCTCTTAGTTGAGATGTGCGGAGCGGTACCTGATGGAATTGTAGTCTTTTTTACGTCATACCAGTACCTGGAGAACGTGGTAGCTTCTTGGTACGAGCAGGGAATCGTCGATCAGGTACGTCTGAGCAACTAGATACCCAATCTATCGATGAAGCAACGAGCCCTGTGTAATGACACGATCTTTAAAAATGCATTATTTTATAGCTATTTTAATTCACTTGTCCTTATTTTAGGTTCTGCGTCGTAAACTGCTCTTTATCGAAACGCAAGATTCAGCGGAAACGAGCCTGGCCCTTCTCCACTATGTGAGAGCAGTGGAGAGCGGTCGGGGTGCTGTGCTGTTATCGGTAGCTCGAGGGAAGGTGAATGTTAACATGATTAGCGGTTGCTAAATGGAATAATGAAGTTGAACTTAGCGTACGTTTTGCCAAGTGCAGAAAAGACTTTACGCGTCAACTAATGCGTTTTTGTGTGGAGTACAATTCCAGTCTTGATTTGTTTTTTGTACGCTATCAATTTGATTCTGTGTTCTGCGTAGGTTTCCGAGGGAGTCGACTTCGATCATCATCTGGGTCGCGCTGTGTTAATGTTCGGCATTCCATATGTCTTCACTCAGAGTCGCGTGCTACGAGCGCGCCTAGAGTTCCTACGAGATCAATTTCAGATTAAAGAAAATGATTTTTTAACGTTTGATGCTATGCGACATGCAGCACAGTGTGTTGGCAGAGCCCTCAGGGGAAAAACCGATTACGGCGTGATGGTATTCGCAGACAAGAGGTTCTCTCGACATGATAAAAAGAGTAAATTACCACGGTGAGAGAAAAAATAGTCATAATTTATAGCTATCATTTGCCCTACTACTGGATATTCTACCCTCAACTCTTTGCATTGCTGGCAGGTTTACTTACGCACACGTATGAGGTCGGAACAGGCTCGAAAGTCTTCAGTGGACTTTTTTTAAATCCATATTTTTACTACATTTTACTCCGTACCTACTTCAACGGACGTAAAATGAAGACTTTCAACCTGCCGAATTTTGAAAAACTCTCAAGCGACCTTTGCCCTACTCCGTATGCATTAAAAAAATTACAACAATCATTCTATTTGGAGCTTGATTCGTATACTAACAGTATTAATCGCTTATAGCTAACTGTGTTTAGCATGGCTAGTAAACAAATGTCAATCCGATTTCAGCTGGATTCAGGAGTACTTAACGGACTCGCTATGCAACCTGAGCACAGAGGAGGGTGTGCAGGTAGTAAAGAAGTTCCTGCGGCAGATGGCACAGCCATTTACGCGCGAAGATCAGTTGGGACTTAGTCTATTGACGGCTGAACAACTCAACGACGAAGAGCTCAAAAAAAAGATTAAACAAAAAATCATGGAATTCTCCACTGCTGGAGGATAATTTCATCCCAACGTTGCGAATCATTAGATCTCATTGATGTCAGTACAGAGTGTTGCATCCACAGGGTTTTGATCAGCGCCGCGCGAGAATAGCAAGAAGACTCCTAATCAATCGACGCTTTGTAGGGGCTATATAACGTAGGCAAGAAATAGCTGAAAATATAAAGAGTCGTTCTTAACGGGTGTCACCACTGAGCCTGTATTTAGGTGATTACGAGTATTTATGTTATGAACGAACGTCTTGATCTTAACGCTAATCATTGTCAGGTACGATATTTATAAATTACAGTCAATTACGTCAATGTAATAAAGGGATTGATGTCGTAGTATTTTCAGTTTTTCCCCTCTTCCTGTGTTATGTACCGATCTAGTAATAGTGTATTTGAATTGAATGAAAAACTGAAAATGATCACACGTACGATTGATAGTCATAGACAGGGGACTTTATTACCGATGCAATATGAATTCATCTACAATGGCTAGTTATATAACATATAATAACTCAGCAATATAACATAGTGAATATATTCCTGCGCCAGGATGTATCAGTTACCGTAAGATCCTCTTGGTATTACAAATGAAGAGGGTCATCGTTATGAACAGTTACAGCTAGCATATAGGGGGCTACACCCTAGCCGACCGACGTAGAGTTGGTACTTGAGGCACAATCCCAGCACCCGAAGCTTGCCCGATGTACTCAGGGAAAGGGCCCCCATATGCCTGGATAGCGGCATCAGGCCCCGAAGGTGCTGAGGAAATGTAGACAGCGTCGCCAGGGTTTTTTGATTCTGTGCCTAGCTCATTTGTTTGGATCTCGGGATGGAAACCGGACTCGTCCGCAGTGTACGACACGTAGCGTTCCCGTCCATCGGCTAACTATAGTAGTATACATAGAAAAACATTATCTTTTTGCTTCCATATATATATATATATACATTTTTTTTTCTTTGATACAGACCTTGAGGAAATAGTTCCCTTCTGCACGGGACACTCCATCAAACTTCTCGGAGTGTCCGTGGGATCCTTCATCGGATTCAGCTGTGTACGCATATTCATATGGGGTAGGTTGTGACAGATCATCGTACTGGGTTACCACACGCTGGCCAAGCTGAAAGAAGTTTGAAAAAGGCTTCTATCCAGTTCGTGCAATTTCTATAGAGCCTAACTTCTGCAATAACTAAATAGACCTGGTCTAAGTGCTGTTCCAAGGAACGATTTTGGGGATGCGCATTTCTTGCAAAATTTGAGCCGTACTTACTGCTGTGGCGACGACGACCACGGCAACGACAACTACCTGCAATAGCGTTAGTATTTTTTTTTAGCAGAATTAACGTAACACGTTCGTGTTGCAACCTCCTGTTTAAAGCTATGGTAACGCATACAAAAATAATAAGTATTCTTCTTTTTCCCGAGTTCTCTAGATCAATCATCAACAATTAGCTTAATCATTTAAGATATAGGCACCAGCTAGCTCTTGCATATAATGGCTGAATGAAGAGTTATCGTACTTGTACGTGCTCTGTACCGTTACAGAGAGACGTAATTTATTCAGCAGCGATTATTTTTGCGAATCGTATGACCAAGAAAAGCTATCCTCGACTGCAATGAATGACGTACACAAAATGTATATGAAGAGCTCATAATTTTTTGTCGTTAAAAAACATCCTTAACAAAATAACCAATGACGTGCGCAATAATAAAAGCACTGCACTGCATATAAATAGTCTCTGCCGTTCACTCTGTCCACATAGGCACACACACACACCTTCATGTCCTTATTGTTTTGAATCAGACGAGAGACTGATAAAGCTACCCTGATAATAATCGATTTTTATAACCCGCCAAGACCCAGCATCTTCTCTTTCGAACCGGCGTTGTGAGGGCTATTGATTCGTGTCGTTTGCGGCTGATGTCGGAGTTGTTGTAGTTAACGCTACAGCTTCATTCTTCCCTCTGAGTCGGATCGAAGTCGGAGCAACGGCTGACGGTCAGAACAGAAAATGGAATTGACTGTAGGGGGAGGGAGGTAATGGCAGACTGGCAGGGTGTCTCCTGCTTCAAGCCTAGTTCAACGCGAGGCAGACTGCGGCGAAGGCGCCTATTCGTCGATTTCTTGTACATACCTTCTTTGTCGCTAAGCACGGACGAAGACTATGACGAATATAACGAAGAGAAGGGAGCCACTTATGAAGATCGAAGCTATTGCGTACGCGGAAACATATGCATATGCAATATTCTTACATACCACACACATCGAACGCGTTTCCGAATGTTGAAGCAGTATGTAGTTTTCTAATGCACTGAATAGTTCTTTTACTCAAACTTAGCATGTACGACGTTAAAATTTATAGTTTATTTTTCCTATGATAGCCCGTACATAAAAATGGGTATTCTCGAATAATACTAAAGGTCAACAAGAACTAAGAAAGGGAGCTGTACACAGTTCATGGTTGAGCTCAAGAAACGAAGGAAATGCTTGCAACTTTTCGTTTAATTTTTTTATTTTTGCAATATTCGGTCAGGCCAGAAGTAAGACTCCTTATATTTTAAATTATATACACCAAATCGATCCTATATGTTGATTATAATGGTAATGCTGCTGGTAAAAGCTGAATGGTAAAATATGCTATAAAGACCCTGTCACTTATACAAACAATCGAACAGTATTAGCTTTGCCCAGTCGGTCTAATAAGGTCGAGTTTAATAAAAACCATGCTTAGCGTGTGCGTTAAAAGGACATGATCGCAAATAACGTAAAAAGTGAGCAAGATATATTCGAGGTTAATTTACGCTACGTATTATGATGCTACAAGCGAACTGGGCAGACTTTGAAACTGAATAACTTTTGACCTAATGCGGCTGGACTGATGATTTCAATATGTGTTAGAGATCTCCTTTATGTTTTATATACTTGTTCCGATACTCTGACAACTTCTAGACAGTCATATAACAAACGTTCGCGTTCTCAAAGTTATAATCGATAGTTTAGGATATGCTTGCCCAGCATTAATGGAAAGCTCTATAATTACATACTTACTTAGACTGGAAGAATAAGCGGGAATGAAGACAACCTACCTTCTTGAATCATTTGTAGCATCAACGTATTGCGCTTTCGCTTACGGCCTTTTTGCCTTATGCTATCATCGCCAATCTTCGATGAATTTCCGCATCGCTGTGGACTTTAAGGATCAAAAACTCTAGAATTTCCTGACCATTAGACGTCAATTTTAAAGATCTAAAGATGTTTTTTTCTGAGCTTATTTCTAAGTATACTTTGCTACTTTGGGAAATGAAACTATTCACCAGCCAAATCTTCTCTGATAGAGTAGTTCAAGACGTATTTGAGGTCGAAGTTTGCCGGATTACCCTGTAACAGCGTAGATGTTTCGAGTTTTACGTATGACATCGCCGTTAGACTTTGATCCTCAGCTTGAAATGATCTGTGTGTCTGCGCTTGGATTCCAGCCTAGCCCCGCCACGCGTTCCTAAGACTAGTAGGCAAGTATGTTACCCACTGAGCGAATCATAATAATAGTTCTAATAGTTCATGTCCATCTGATATAAAAAAAAAACACTGCTCCAATAATTATCAATAATACGAATTATTTGTGATATAACCAGCTAAAGGTGGAACAGCATTATTTATTTCTTGTGAAGACACTTTACGAGGGGCAAAGTACTTGTTTCCAAATAAACACAAAATAATATTATCACCTGACTATAAAAAAAATCCGCTTTTTATATCTAGATGATAATATTATTTAGAACATATTTAGCTATTGAAGTTTCATACCTCTAGTGGCTGACAAAGAAAAGCAATACAACGATCTGCTTCTATAACGCTAATATACATGTACTAAGCTCTAATATTATGATCCATATATAAAAAGAAAAAAACACTAGCAGACATTTTGGTCACCTATTCGAGTATAAATGGACTTGCTTCCACAGATACCCCAATTTACTTCGTTTATTTACTTTACTTTATTTACTTGATGTTTGAAAATAGTCAAATATTTAATTAGTAAGTTTATTACGAACGTGAGCGCTTTGATAATATACGGTCGAAGCTGGATTTTCGAAATTGTGTTTGGCGCATCTGCGACACTGTAATCCTGCCCGCGTACGCCAACTGTTAAAAGATCTGCGGCATCCATTGCTGCGCGCCACATCCGATACCAATATGTTTCAATGCTTGCAGCGCCCTCTTTTTTCTTGAACCTTCTCACGTACGACAAAACGTCCCAGCTGAAATTAACTAGCAGATCAACTGGATTGATATACAACTATGTGACGGTTCAACTTGTAACAGGTACCCAAGTGACGGCACAAAGTCGGATGACAGAAATCATTGCTATCAACATGTCGTCTGTATACAGCTAGTGAAATAATGTTTCTGCAGCGGCTTTACATCTCAGAGAGAAGCACCGTACATTCCTTCGATCAAGAAGGAAACGCAAATATTTGAATAAAGCTATTAACGGCCGATTCTCCAAGATGCTACAAATGGTACTAGGTAACGCACCAGGCCGATCCTACTATTATTAATTAACAGTTACTCATTGACATAGAGATCACATAAACATGCTCTACGACCTTTAGCTATTACATTAACAGTTAGATTTGGTAATAATTTGATCGTGTGTGCAGAGATTTTGTTCAATTTTTTGAAAATTGACAACATTTACCAGATATTACTGTCTACTCTATCGACTGTATCAAGATTACTGCTGCTGTATTATTGAACAATCGAACTCATTTTATATTATCTATATCTATAGAGTCTGTTGACATTGGGCAAACGAGCAGAATCAAGCAGCGAATGGCATAGAACTTGATGGGGGTAGAAGAAGTGTTCGACATAATAGTAGCATAATAAACACCCACCCAACAAGTGCACGGCGACAGGTGCACTATGTTTCTGTTTGAATTTAAAAAAATAAACACGTTTATTTCCTATTGGGAAAACTTCGGGCCGGAAAGTAAGCTTTACCTAACAAAAGCAATATAGCTATAATCATTTGTCCTCAAGGATAATTCACTTTGATCGTACCTCTTAACTTGTCTAAAAACTGCAATGTAAACTGAAAAATAGGGTATTTACAGATGTGATGTTTCCGGAGACTTGCCGAAAATTTAAAAGGCAAGGAATCTGCGAAAACGTGCAAAAAGATCGTGTTATATATTAATCAGGTGAAGGCTTAGGCACTCCCATGTTTGTTTCTTCTAAAGATCCTTTTCGAATTCACGGATCACTCTAAAAATAATCTGGGCTTTTCTACAAAATTTACAGACTTTCCTTCTTTCTCTACTCTATGTGGGGAAAATATATTCTAATAGTTTATTTTCGTTGACGCTACTTGAATTTTTCATCCAGACAATCAGAGAGCATGCAAAAGGCGGATTTTCCCGACACAGGCACGTACGACTGACGCGCAATGGAGCGTTCCTTTGAGCCACCGATGAGTCAGCCTATAACCACTACGCGTTTATTAAAAATACAGCCCGCGCTCTATATCATCGCATGGACGTAATGAAAGAGTTCATATTTACGAGTCTGTGAAACAGGTTATTTCGGTATTGGGGTCCACCGGAAACGTCGCAGGACCAATCTTCTAAGGTCTATATTATTTTAAAAAGCAAGCTAGCCGCATTAGCTCTAACTAGAGACAGCCGAAAGACAGGATCAAATTTAAAATTCAATAATCTCGACATATTTCTTAGGAATATATACCTGTATAGTGAAATGATGACAGGCTCTTCCTCGTTCAGTCACTTCTATCATGATGCGCTCAGTTCCACATCTGGAAACTTCAAAATACTTAACAGAAGCGGGGCTGAAAATGATTGGAGCTTTTCATTTTGTAGCAAAAGCCTTTGAGGTCAAATCTGATTGCTTTATCTTTACATCACCTTTAACCGAACTAAAAGGTGCCCATTCAACTGATTTCTGGTTTAGCAGTATTTACTGATGCTTCTGCCAAACAGCCCAGATGCACTATAGTCTCAATAGTACCATGTGAGCTGTTCTATCTAGAAACAAATATATAAATTTATCTGAAATGTTCATAGCTACGACATACTGTTCGCTTCATTTGCACGAGAAAAATATCTGGATGGGACCGTTCTCTTGCTAACAAAATGACAAACCCAGAGTGAGCCTATTGTCGAACAGCTGCGATGACTTTCTGAAAGTTATCATGGTCATGAACATATGTACACAGACAAAATAACGTTACGTCGTAGTGTGTGCATGGAACGTCTAGCAGCTAATATTAATACCGCGAATATATGATGTGACCCCTTTGTTGTCGAGTACAGCCATTTCGTTGATGATTGGATACGCGTGGGGGTTACTGTTGCATAGATAATTATACCTTACCACCTATGAGCATCTAGTATAGAAATGTAGCCTGATCAAATACAAATAGCAGCGATGACGCTTTAATATTTGCTGATGATACCGCGCAGATAGATGTAGATGGGCTTATCGTATATATATATATATATATATAAGCATATTGCACTGATTTTCTAGTCTATAATTTTCGTTCTAGCTAACGTTTAGCCGGCGATAGATTGTTAAAGTCACGTAGCTGTTGGTACGGTGAACCCCGGTCACACCGGGACCGATTTAGACTGCCACTCGCAAATCCTGTGTCACATCGGTATATAAGATGGCTGCAACCGCCCAATGAGGTATCCATGAGTTATAGCTAATCAGACCGGCACTAAATTATATAGTCAATTATCATGAAGTGCGTAAGTAGCTTTTCAATCTGTTTTCACGAACAATGTTTGTAGCGCGTACCTGCTCTCACAAGCTCCAACCGACAGTAGGAATAGAGTCTCTATCTAAGAAAACAATCTCTTATTCGAAGTACTGCAGTGTTTAATTACTTTAGATTTATGTATATATGTTGTATAAAAATCTGTTAAGACCCCTTAGTAAAGTATTGTGTTTATAAGAACGCAATGTTCGATTTCGGACACGAACGATTTTTCCAATTCTGCAGGTAGCTTTCGAAATCGACTATAACTATATTTCGAATTTATCCAGCTCAGTGCACAACGAGCATGTTATGAAGCAACCTGCAATGTAACTCCTAACCTGGTGAGAACTGAGTGACTGACCTGATACGCGCCTTACTTGTTATCTGTTTCAGGTTGTTGCTGTCGCCCTTCTAGCTTACGGAGCTGTAAGTTTGAATATAATTTTATTATCTAAGGACCTCGGTACAAATTGCTTGGAGTGTCCTATAGTTATCATTAATAAGAGATATAATTAGATATCATTAATAAGCGTTGACTGTCCTATCTCTATCTATACCTATATCCGAATCATTTTAGTTCTGCTGATAGTTTGACCACCTTTTTGTGCGGGATAGAGTTCATTGAAGTTACTTCTAGCTATATTTATCTATAGGTTAAAAAGGTTTAAGTTAGAGACAAACACTAAAATTTATTTGTTTAACTGCAGTACCATTTCTACCTCTAATGCAAGTTTACATGTCATAGTTAGCCGACTAAGCTCGTTAATATTTACCAAATTCAGTGCTGCCAAAATACAATTTAATTATAAATTTCAAAGGTAAGATTTACCTAGTAAAATACACAGTAAATCGAATTGTAGCTTTGAGAATGAGGATGTCGAAAAATGAAGCTCGACTTGATTGATTCCTTGCGGATCTTAAAAATAAAAGAGATACAAGCCCTATGATTGGCAGCAGAACCTACCGATACTTGTCTAAAAAGCCATATGATGTCAACAAGAACTTCGGTAATCGGTGGAGCTTTATTTTGAATTTTGGAACGATACTTCTGAATTTACGTTTACCATTTTGTATGGGTAGGCCATACCACCACCCAACCTAATTCCCTAGCTTAAGCGATTTAGATCCTTCGAAAAGGGCACTTTTTGTTGTTTTAGGCCGCTCAGGAGGTTCGTTTGGGCGCCCGCGTAGCCGCACAATATGATGATTTGTCCCAGCCCACTCCTTATGAATACGCTTACACCTCTGAGAACGAAGAGGGATCACATGGACACTCAGAGAAATTCGACGGAACTTCTCGCGCCGAAGGAAATTTCTTTCTGAAGGTTAGTCATTTCATTACACCGACTTGTCATTGACTCTAACTTCTCGTTGGCAGTCCTATTGAAAAATATGCGGTATTTTGTTTTTATTTTTTGACGGTCAAATTTAACCAGTCGGGTTTTCAATGTGCTACAATAACATCTATTTATAATTTTTCAAAAACAGCTGGCGGATGGCCGCGAGCGTCATGTAACCTATACAGCCGATGAAAATGGCTTCCATCCTGAAATTCAGACCAACGAGTTGGGCACGGAATCCAAAAATCCCGCTGATACTGTGTACATTTCTTCTGCTCCTTCTGGCCCCGACGCCGCCATTGAAGCTTACGGAGGACCTTTCCCTGAATCGATTGGACAGGGCTCCGGTAAGGCCGACAAGATAAGTGAGCTAAACAAACCTACCTGTTCCGCCTTGTTATCATTCAAATTGTATCAACAGAAATTGAACATTTGAGGTATGATACTTCTTCTGTTCTCAGTAAAAGTTTTCAATGTTACTTTCCGGGGTCTTTTAACAAAACTCTTCTTGTTTTTCATTTCAGTTGTGCGAGCTCCTGTGGCTGCAGCGCCTTTGACTCGTGCTCCAGCAGCTGCTAGCCAATCGAAATAACTTGCGTTACATACAAAACACCGTTCAAACTTCTAGGGACAATATCACTGACTTATAGGGGTTCTTGTAGACAATTTTTTAACCTGGGTCCCCACAACATCACGATGATGAGGCGAAACTACGAGTACGTAAATCCATAAAATTATATTTCTTAGAGCACAACTAGCAGAAAAAGGTTACCCCAAAACTTTCGGACAGTTTATCTCGCTGGCAAAACTGTTATATTATGTAAATTATATACGTATAATCCATACGGATATATATATATCACGACGATAGTGTTATCTATGCAAATGATTCTGTTTAAAGTGCCTACCAAAACAATATGACAGAATACTCGGATGGATCCATTTTCATATTGTAGTAAGTACAGAAGAAAAGGACGGAGATAGCTAAATAAACAAAAAAAAAAAGATGGCTGCCGAAACTATTGATCTCGGTGGTCCTGTACTGTTATTATTATAAGTGTCTGCCTCTTCTCAATTTATTTAGCGTTGATGTTTGCTTTGAAAGGACTTCCTGCAGTTAAAAGTTAGAAGCTTAATAATTCCGTTAGACTTACCGACTCCTTATGGGCTCGTCATACTAACATATTTTAAAAGCCGTTTCTATGTCGAAATTGAAGCATGTTAGATTGTTTGTATTTAGTTGACGATGTATAGCTATCGTTTGAATAACGAAATTTTTAACGTATAGGTTGTCTGAGAGATCGTCACTGATAATGCTTTGGATTAGAACGTGCCCTGTATTGTAAATTTTGCGACGGAAACGAGCGACCAACCATCTATCGATTACTCGTATTGATTCATTAGTAACCAAGAGACAGCGTATCAAAGAGCACATGTACGGTGCTCAAGGACAAAAGATACAGGAGAAGCAATACCAATCAGCTAACATCAACCGTAGGAAATTTTTCAGCTAAACAGATAGGATCTGGTTCGGATTTACACAGAGTTGTTTAAATTTATTTTTAGCTATTGGCAGAAAATAATATAAACATAAAATAATGGCAGTGTTAATCGCTCAGGAAAAATACGGCGATCAGTCTCACGGCGTTCGTAATTATCAAAATATGTCAAACGTGAGCTATTTGAATGGAAAACAATTTCTAGGAATAATACTTATTTCTTTTCCAGAAAATGCCTCTTAACATCGGTTTAGCAGTGTTTACAAGGCTAACATTAGAGCTGATCGTGTAATTTGTGAATCTCCAATTAGCATCAGTCTACAAACTTGAAAATTCAAAATCAGTTGAGCGTAAAAGACCAAAAACAATACTGGATAAGCGATAGACTGTTGCTGATCTATTGAGTGCTTCAATGTGTTTCTACGCTGGCGAGGGATGCATAAATACCCCCATTACAAAAACACTAACAATAAAGAAGAAGCACGTAAATTTCGTGGGCCTCGCTATCTGAAAACTGCCTTTGGAATATGTTCCGTAAAGGTTTCATGGGGTACAGCCCAACACAGCGATGTTATTATGGTTTACAGTACCGAATATTGAAGAGTTTACAAAAATGTTTATACCGTTAACATTGAATGATGCGGGAACATATTAGATCGATTAAGGAACATGTGTTTAAGATCGAAAAGCAGTATATATATATATATATATTGCTATAAGGCCTGACACATTATAGGAGATCGTAACATGATTTATATAGACGCCTTCGATTGATGAAATCCCACTTCGATGGATCACTATTTATTGACTAATCTCCATGTAATATACAAAAAGAAAAAAAAAAACCATTCTACTAACTACGAGTTCTTTAGGATAGTTTGCCATCAACGAATTGCCATATCGTCTTGTCTGATAACTGTTATCCGAAGCACAATTGTATTTACCGGGTGGAAAGGAAAACGAAGAAACGTTTCGATGGAACTTCGATATTGATACTTCATGAGGTTAGCATTATTTCCGTCAAATTCTCCGTTTAGCCACACCGCAACATTTAGTTCTCGTCCATTTTAAATATAAAAAGCAAATAACGTCCAGAAAGTCAAATAAAACATTGCAACGATATATTATGTGTCAACTTTCACAGCTTATGGACGCATGAACCAGAGATACTTTTGCCTTTCACAAGTCCTATGAAGAACAGGTTTTTATTGTCTATACAATCGCTTGTTCGGTCTTACAGAAAATATCGCAAAACAAAAAGTTATAGTACACACAACACTTTGATAAGTTGCAATACGAAACGGCATGAGAATAATACCGATATTTTATAGTTGAAACTGAAATTTTTAGGCACAATGTAACGTAGATACGGATTAAGCAATTACATGTTCAGATGTGAATTTCCAAGTTATCGCAGTTACCTTCTACCACACTGAATCTGATTGATCCTTAGCAGTGTCATCTTTGAACGAACACGTATCAAAATTTCAGTTGTGAATGAAGTTAGTTCTCGGAAGTTTCGAGAGACACTTCTAGGTCTCAATGATAAAGATGACTGAGATCCGAAAAAGGAGCACTGGGCAATTCGTCAGGTGACTTGAATCATCATAATAAAACTCTTTTCGTTAATAAAGAGTGTAGTCGATAATAATTTAGTAGATTTCAGTATATATCTGTTGTTCAAAACAAATCTAGAAGCTCTGTATATGCAACAAGCTTGATTTTGAGAAAATTCGTTGATTACGGGGCTCTAGAGAAGAAATCTTCGACACAGATATAAGACACCCTGTATGATAGAAACGACAAAACGCTTCTATTGTTGCTTACAGCAAGGCTTACATATTAGCTCCCCCGTTTGATACTACAGGTGACCATTTTCTCAAGGGGTAAATATGCCTTACGAAAAACCCATCCACACACAGCAGAGGTTTCCTCTCCCATTCTCCAGTCAAGCAAATCCGCTTAGAAATAAATATTACTTCACAGCCTGGTAGGTAAAACATATCCTTCGGCATAGAGCATAAGAGATATCCGCTCAAAAGCTCGAAAGGAAGAAGCCTTTCTGAACGTTCTGACAATTTTTTTTTGGTTCGGTTTATTCGAATATCATCCTGTCGAAGTTTGTCATTAATAAAACTTATCCTTTGATATTTTTATTCTAGTTATCAGTAGTTTATCACATGTGTACAAGGGACGATCCTTACTTGTTCGGTTTTACATCACTAGATGAAATAGTTGTTAAGAGAGACTTTGCAGATGAAATCATCTCGCTGCTTTAGAAATACTGCTGAAGCATCAAGAGTCACTCAGAATAGCTCAAAAAATCCTTATAATAATACTTGCAGACATTTATTTTCACTGGATTATCACAAATTACGCGAAAATATCTTAACTCTACAACTGCCAACCAGAGAAAAATGAACAGACCTTTTCGTTTTACACACGCACACAGCGGTTTGTTTCGGTTGTCCCAGAGATTTCCGAAGCAATGTATCATGGATTGTTCTGATTCTTAGGTATTTATAGTATTAGCGGTAGTTAGAGCACCTGAAGTAAAGGTTATTTGCAAATGAAAACTTTGAGGCACTGAATTGAATATTTGAGGAAGCACTGCAATTCGCCAATGGCCATGAGGGAACGGTCAACGAATTCCGCTTCCAATTTGAAACCTGAACGAATAAGTTGGACGCTGAATCTCAAGATACTAGTGAGGTTGTAATTATTTGTTCCGCGCCTTCGGGCCTTGATGTCTGTATCCAGTAAGATAGAGTTCCGCTTGCTCTCCGTTCTAGAGTGTATATGCTATTGACTAGACATATTCAAAACTCTCTATACGTATATGCAAGTAAAGACATTGTATATGTTATTGTTATTTCCTAACATTGTCGTACATAATTATATTAATTATAATCTGCCTTTGAATTATTTTCGTTTTCAGGTAACGTTCCCGTTCTGGAGTAAGGCCAGCATTATGACCTACTAATTCCAAACTCTGTTAAGTACAGTTAACATTCACGCTAGGTAAAATCCCAGTTGGACAAATTAATTGAGCGCAGTCTCTGTGACAGAACCCAGGTCTTGTGGTCTTTGTTGGCTAGTCTATTTCATTTTAACACTTAACCTGGCTCAGTGGAAATATGTTGCTTCATATTTCATGGAAATCACGTTATTTACAAACTATTTGTCATGGCTGCAGGCTGAAGTGTTAATTGAACTATCCTTAGACAGTCTTGAAGCTTCATGCGTCATAAAATTAAGTTGTGAAATTAGATAGAACAAAGATCCTGAAAACTATCTGCAATGGTTTTTATTAATAATGTAGAACTTCGAAAACTAAGTTCTAGTTTCGCTATAATCAGCTAATGTAGTCGGTGTTTATTTTTGTTATTAATGAAGGGTCTATCGTTGACCGTTACTCGCCGAACAGTTATTCTAACTCTAAATGGCAACAAACTCGTTGCCCAATTCGAGATTTTATGCTGTTTTTAAATGCGGAAATCTTTTTGTACCGGGTCACAGTGAATTGCGGTTTCTGCAAAAGGAGTTAATTCTCTTTGTCAGTATCGGCAAACATTCATTGATTTGCTACTGCTCGTACGGTGCCCGTTTGCCATATGTGGTGCCGTCGTGGAGAATACTCGGTTTCAATCTAAGTACATTGTGTAAGTGAAGGCATTCTACGCTACGACTAAGTGAACGCAGGACTAAATCCAGGAATCGCTGACGCACATACTCAAGAATCTACAAAAAACAATAACTAGGCATAACTATATGCAAGATATATACGAGAACCATATATATAGAAAATCGTCGCATGTGTTTGGCGCATGCATATATGAAGCCTAGAACGAATAAATACGTTTGTTTTATGAAGCAATCCCTTTTGAGATCGCAAGAAAATGCACATACGATTACGCCCACTTTTTGGCCAATATGCACACCGTTAATTTATCATATCTTCCTGTTAGTGTGGCCATGCCACATTGTTTTAGAAGAGGCGCATAGTCAACCTGCTTCATAATCCGGCCTCTATATTTCTCGTGTGATCGTCTCCGGAGCGTTGCCCGGATTGCGGGGGACGGAGCTCCGCCCCCGACTTCTCGGCCATTCTCGACCATCTCCTCTGTGTGCTTCTCTTCGATCTTCTGCGCTTTCTCGGCCTATAATGAATCGAGAGTGTCACCCGTAAGAGACTGTAGTGTTGTAACGTTCCTTTGCCAAGCTCGTTAGTCGAGGGTGTGATTTTAGCCACATCTGAATCTCATCTTCATCAGAGCACCAGCGGCAGTCATCAAAGAGATGTTCTACAGAATAGAACATCGTGCTCCCGCTTGCCAATAAGACGACATCAGACAAACCTATAATGTGTTTAGAGATTCGCTCTAGCTGTTGACAGTGTAGGAAGGGATGCTGATCTGTACAATCTTCTGAGTCACCGAGTGTACTCTACCTCCAGTCGGTGAGTACGCGCACGTGTGTGATGGCACTAGACCATGATTGTCTCTTCTGTTGTTGATAACAATGGTGGTGCTGATGATGACGAGGACGATGTTAATGAGGCGACAAGAAGTTCCGAGGACGTCATTCACAATGATAATTATGATGAGTTCTACAAAAGAAATAAAACATGTAGTGCTTTCAGTGGCAGCAGGCGATACTTTTCGATGTATCTGTGTGTGTGTACGGGCGCTAGCGCATATGTAAACGCTTGTGCATAGTTATACTTAACAACAAAGTGATAAGAAAACGGACCAGGTTTGCATCGCGGACTACCATGCTTAAACCAAAATGGTCTAATTGGCGTAATAATATAATACATGATTTGGCCATTTTGCTACAATGCAATTCTTTCAACCCAAAAATAGTCATGCCAAAAACCCAAATGAAATGTATTAGGTCGTGTTCGAGCCTGAGTTGTTTGAATAGGACTCTGGTCTGGCTGCGACGCTTGTCAGCAGCGTCGTAATAGACGATGACTTTTGTGCTTTTTTTTTTATAAGGACTATAAAGGTAGGCAGAATTAATTGACTTTTTCTTCATTTTTTACTAAACTATTAATATTATAAACGCGATAATGCAACGGACGCTTAAAAGGCTTGAAACACGAAGTACAACGAGCTCGTCGCAATGTAATAAACAGCAAAAACTTTATTACGTTGCAAAAAAGCTTCAAGTTGTATAGTTATACAGTGACACTGTATAGGATCTATAGTAATGAGTTCAACAGATTATACAGCTATCGAGAACAACCTAAACGTATTGTCCTCATCTAGTTGAAGAATATTCCTAATGCATATCTCAAAAGACTTACATTTATTAGACGAATCAAATCACGCTACGCACAATTTCACGGAGTATGTAAATGTACAACATTTCGGGCTAACAACGCTGCCTTGGGGTTATTTTCAAATTAATGTCTCGGTTAAATCGGAAGTGCATTGGCTTCTACTCAACGAAATGTACCGTCATTAATGGTAACTTAGAAAACTGACATAAATTTTTATTAAATATTTTATTTCTCAAAAAATTGTTAACCCTACGAATCTGGTAAATAGCAACCTAGCACGATCGTTGTTACTATATAAAAATGTTTACATTGTAACAATTTAAACAGACGTCAAAGCGGTACAAAGCTATCCTAATGATGGCACAAAGGTTAAGATGTTAAAAAAGTGATCTTTCTCATTAGTGCTTGCGGTACTTTGTACATATTTTTCCCTTTTCAAACATAGGTCTCTTAAAATACTTGATAAATTCCAGGATGTAATACAGTAAAGCAAATCACAACAGAACACAAATAAATTCGTGAATTACCCAAAATCTTATCTATTTTGTCAACAAAACCATATTAATTGCCATATGTACTACTGACAGTATAGATTGTAGGCTATTTTCAGTAGTGAGTTTTCATTATTTCAGTTTGATTTCAGATTCGGTGATTACAGACCAACAACAGAAGATGCACTATTTAATTGTTACCGACTATATAATTGATTTGTATAATCAGTTCTGTCTCCTGTCCGCATGATTATTTATCATTAATTCATACTGTACCATTCCTTTTTATAACTTTCCTGCATCCATCCATTGCCAATGGTAGTTCTTCTTGTACTAATATACACGCACTTGTACCTTTTTCAAATGTAAAATTTTTAATTTATTTGGATCTTGACACTCGGGCTTCTGGCAAACGGGCCGTGTTGAATCATGGAAAATCAGAATATTCGGATAATTTACAAATTTGTCTTGGAACCGCAGCCGCGGAAACAGTTCGGTGCATAGACCCTGTACGCAATCAAGATGCTGCTACCAGAAGCATCGAGAGCCATTGATCGGAAGATTCCCAGCAAGAACAATGTGAAGTAAAACAGGTCTCCTGGAAAATGAATTTTCTCCGACAATGGATAACGATATCCTGAAAGCTGAGCTAACAATTCAAAGTCCAAAAGTGCACGGTTTGCGCTCAGGTTTGCTGAACGTAAAATATCACACTTGCTTACCTCAAAACAATAAATAAGGTAGAAATATCTATAAATAGGTACCGTATTTTTGAGTTAGGATCAAAAATGAAGACGTTCACTTCGCCTTGTTCTCGCATCGAATCGTGACTTCTAATAGAAAAAATTAATGTTCTACAACAATGGAGACGGGTATGCCAGTGGATGGGCACAACTAAATAGATGGGCAGGCCAGAACCCCATAGCAAATTTACAGCTGTAAACGCTTGTTTCGTCTATTTAGAGATTTAATGCTGTTTTTATGCGCTAGAGTTTGTGAGTCCTGGTGCTTCTATTTCAATTAAAGTACTCTTTCAATAATTGGAGGATATGATGCACAAATTCTGTAATAAGCAGCTAAGACTAAACAGCATAACTAAACGATTCTCATTAAGGGAAAATACTCAACAACATAAAAATCAGGCTATAAAAAATGCAGAGTTCACAGTTCGATTCACCCTACTTAACGGTAAAACATTGTAGTTTTTCAAAGCTTTGTTACATAATTAATATGATAATTGTTATACATGATGTTTTTTGAAATTTCATAGACTGTTGTACCCCGTGGTTCTACAGCAGCGTAAACGTTACGCTGCAGTTTGAATAGCAGAAGGTCATAGATAACAATGGAAAACAAAATAATCGTATCTGTGAAAAAAAATACAAAAGTAAATACCCACTGTATCGCATCTCGTACTCAACAATCGAATATATATATATATATATATATATATTTTTTTTTTTATGTATATATACACACAAAATAAAAATGAGGAAATGTCGCTGTAAGTGTTTTTCGCCGAACCCAATACATTTTTAGAAATAAAGTATGCCTTCAGCCAAAATTAGATAACCACATCATTAAGTCGTTTATTATTGGTTTTTTTATTGTGTCTTACATTTACAGATGGATCGGACAGATCGAGCCCAAACGTCATATTGATAATTAATCGGTTGAAACTAAAATAACTTTGTACTTTCTTTTGCCTTGATCTAATAAGCGACCCTTTACAACTTAACACGACCTCACAATGAAGCATTGACATCATTAGCGAGTAAAGTTAACAAGCAATACCCATATGCTAATTTCTGGACGAAACCATGCAACCTGAAAGTACCTTATCCCTCAACATGGAGTGGCTGGGGTACGATGCCATTCGCCTGACACGCAAAGAGGAAACTATATCCCAAAGAAGCCACAGAGATGAGTATCGGGCCAATGGCGATGAGACTCATGCAGACCTTGAAGATCAACAGGCAGCATTCCGTGATGAGTGGTACACGAATGCTGGGCAGCTAGAGGGAATACTTAGCCAGCTAGACAGTCAACTTGAGAACGGACAACTATTTGCCAGTAAGACCTTGAATATCGAGCGAGTAAAGAGAATGAATCTGCCATATTTACATACCCTCCTTATGTAGTAAGCATGTATATACAGCTGATGAGCCCTTACAAAGTGAAATATACGCAGTGCACGTCAAAGAAAACGAAATCACGGTACTCGTTGTTTGCTAGATGGCCACGCGAGAAATACCCTGGAAAAATAATTTCCAAATATCGCTACAGCTGCCGGTACGAGCTTCTACGGGAAATTTCAAATCAAGTTTTATTCGTATCTTATTTTTCATTATCGAAGACACTAAACACAATAAGTTGCAGTTCTTGTAATTACTGTAGCTGAATTGTACCGTTGCAGCCCCGACAACAGCCTCCAATAATTAAAATTATGATGTTTATAGCATAACTATATTTTGCATTCAGAATGCTTTAATTCAGCCAGCGTTTTTTAAGATTTATTTTTTTTTAAGATAAGCCTACGTTATAAAATAGGATAAAAAAGTTTCAACGGTACGTTATTCGAGTTAGGTACTTTAAAATATAAGCAAATTTCTCCACATTAATCCAGTTCCTTACTAGAACAAAAAAACGTCTCTTGAAAACTACCCTCCGAGGAGAGATTAATGTAATCTTCATAAATTAATGCAACGTGCATGTAATATATAAATTTATTTCGTACAACCTGTCTCGACATTACGGGCTGTTGTATAGTGGGTGCCAAAAATATCTAAATACCCCGTTATTTTAAACAAGCTCTTCTAAGCGAGTCAGCAGAAAACAACTGGTTAAGATTAAAAATGCATTTTTAGAGAATTTTTTTTAAAAAGCAATACTTCTCTAAAAAAAAGAAGAATCATTTATTTAAGATTAACAACGAAATCCAAACGTGTTCCTTCAAAAATACTCATCTTTTGATCAGGGCGTTGCTTCTAACATTAATTTTATGTAATATAGTGTGCAATAACATTATTCACTATAATGCATATGCAAAGTTGCCTAAGAAACATTTTAGGACAGTAGATATTTGCGCAAAAAATAGAATGATAATTTTTTACAATATGACTTGTTAGCTTTTTGCGGCTTTTTGCAACAACACAAACCATGAAAAACTAGAGAATAAATGGTTTTGATTAAATTTTGACAGTACAGAGCGGCAGGTCATTCAAGTTATAAGGAAGTTAGGTCTCCGAGGGTGTTGAATCGTAAGTTATCAATAATCTATGTAGTGCACAAGTATGGCCCGAAACTTTTAACGAACGAATTATCCGCTTGAGCTTTATTTTGGGTAAATACGAGAAACCAGAAGCATCGCTTAACAAAAAACAAACTACAGGCGCCTCAAAGACGCCCAGAGGCTTTCTTTTGTGTAAAATTGCCAATTCCAATTGTTTCGTTCGGTTTTCATCCTCGTTCAACATTTGCTGCAGGCCAATCTGTTATGAAATGTTTTATTTCGAATTATACATGTGACACCTGTTAAAGATTCTGCAACCGCTGGGAGGATTTTTGGTTTCTATGAACTGAGAATTCTATTAACTTGACTGCCTGACCGACCTATTTCTTTTCACACATTAAACAAATAATGTAATATGTCTTAATCTGTTCTTAAATGAGTCATAACATTAGCGATACTACGTGAGAACTCACACCTTTCCTGATAAGCATATGGAAATAAACACGTGATCTTTTTTGACTTATCCATTTAACTTAAGTTTTTAAAGGTTTATTCGAAAACATACTTCTCATTATTAGTTTGTTTTCTCAGGTTCAGACTAATCCATCTGAAATAAAGGGGGGCTCAAATATGTTTTGGAGCCATCACGTATTGAATTCTACTTTGTTGATGTGGAAAACTAAGATAATATCAAAATTTCTTATCTATAGTAATCAAAAAAAGATGTAGCTATCCGGTTTCAGCATTTTTTACAATATATGCTCAGTGAAACAGACATATTGTCTTTTTGCAATGACTTTCGTTCTTATAAAAATGTTTTTTTAGATATTAACACGTTATCCGAAACTGACGCAGATTCGATTTGCGTAGTTATAAACAGCTCTCTACAGCAGAATCAACAAGAGGTTAGCCAATCGGCCAGGCCGACGATTGCAAACGGATTTCTAGCGGCTGACGTTGCCGTATCGTATACACAGGTGATGTCAACGGTCGAAACAGCCATGACTGATAAAAATACAGGTACAGATGTGATAAAGAAAAAAAATATGGATCATACAGAAGTAACATTCGCATTTATTAGCCTTATGCATGATCGGTTCTTCATATTATGTCAGTTAATCTGATAATAATAGAACTAAGAAAAAAAAAAACGATAACCAGAACCTAAGTTGGGTAGGATGAATCTGATGGTCCCGAAGCGTAAAAATAACATTCAGAGAGATACGCCTAACGAGATATTTGTTACGTTTGATTTAGAAAGTTTTGGAGACTTCAGCGAGACAGGAAGATATTTACAGAATGTTCCTCATACATCGACCCAAGCAAACATCAACGGTCAGACAATTAGTGAGTCCGACAAACTTGTGCTAATAAGCGGTTTAAAAGAAAGGGATCAGCCCTCTTCGAACGAAAGTGGGCGATTAACAAGAAAAGAACGAACTGCTTTTACTAAAAGGCAACTAAGTGCACTTGAGGAAGAATTTACCCGACATAACTACCTCACGCGTATGAGACGATATGAGATTGCCCATTCGCTTCAATTAACCGAAAGACAGGTTTGTTATGGTCGGTGATGCGCGCTTTATCCTGAATTTCTATTTAATAGCATACATAACCTTATTAAAGCCCAGTAAACATGTCAAGCTAATTGGAACAAACTGAAGAATAGCTTTGTCTAGCTCTCTTACAGAACATCTTTTGAAAAGAAACAATTTTCACTATACATAACGTGGACTATTTCATTCTTTCTTAGACCTCGGACCTCCTATTATTATTAAAATAGGTAGCCAGAATTGCCATTTTCGCGTATAGCCATAAACAGTAAATACCCTATACACTTGTACTATAATATTTACATACGAATAAAACTATTAACAATTTTACCGGGGTCATGTTGTATCCTGCTCTAGGTGAAGGTTTGGTTTCAAAATCGGCGCATGAAATGGAAACGAAATAAAGGGACCCAAATGTGCCGAGAAAGGCCAATCGGAATTTTGCCACAGAGAACCGCGCTTACACTAGGGCCTTCAGTACAATGGCAGTCGATACAGCAGGCTACACCTCATCTACAGATCAACAACACTAGGCCCACCTAAAACCTATCATCATCATCATCCTCGACGGATGGTTTCCCGAGCACTACAAGCTTTGCATTTATTTAAAGTCCACTCTTGCTAGCAAGTACTTTGAATAGCAGTAGTTCAGGTCGAACCTTATTTTTCCATGAACTATTATAATTATCAGTTGTATAGTAATAGAATACATGCCGAAAATCTATATAGTAATCGTAATGTAGACATTACACTTACATGACATGTACATATTTACACCACACACGCATAGTTATATATGGATGTCTGGTATAGATAAGACCATGCAGTACGCATTGCACTACCCTGAACTGTCGATTGAAGCGTACACTTCAAATTATGTGATCCTCGTAAGAGTAAGATAAAATCTCATGGAGGCACAAGTGACAGGCCGCAGCTATAGCTTTATGTAAAAATTCTCTAAAGTATTTTCTTGTGGCAAACATAATACACGTATTTTAGCCATCGTTTTCAGTAAATAAAAACACGCTTCATTTAGTACTTATTTGTGTACATATTTATTCGATTATATATTTACATATTTACAAAATTCGTGTTACTCTATAAGGCTATTTCTTTAGCCTTAATATTTAATCATCATTTAGTCCTGCTCTAGCCATTTCGTGTTGTGGAAGAATGAGTATACAGTTAATTATAGTATAACGTCTCTGCTATGGTTCAATACGATCCGAACACTGTTTTGCTTACAGAAAAACAAGTGTTTACCTCGTTATCGGCTAATAATAACAGGTTTTCCACAAATGCAACTTCGATCTAAAACAAGTGTGTGTTTACCTGTCCGTAACAGTGGCATCAGAGATTCGCTCTGTGCGACGTAAGCGCATCCATTCCCACTGCTTGTAACTGTGTCCTCTTAGAGAATGCCACCGCTACGCATAATGAATTCGCGAATTTCGTAGAGGAGCTCTTTTTTCACCGAATCAGGAATTGTGCTTCGCGCTTTAGGCATCAGATGGGCATGAAGCTCATCCACATTAACGTTGTTTACGCCTACAAGTAGAAAAAATACAAAAACACGTTTGATTCATGATAACGCTGCAAATACTTAGCGGTGAAATTATTGCATGTTAGAATACACTACTTAGCAACGATTCTACAGGATCTGACCTCTTGTTTAGAAATCCCTTTCAGAACATGTCACCATGTTCCGGTTAAGCAACCGCGGCCATCACAACCAAAAATTAATTACCTCGTTCTTTAATGAGTTTCCGGGCCTCGGCCTTCAACTCATCCTTCCATCCACACGAAACAAGTCTCGTTTTAAGAAGTTCTCTAATCCGTTCTTCTTCTCCACTTTCGACCAAACGGGCCTTCACACGCTCGCTTAGTTCAGCGTTCATTTCGTCTTAGCGAAGGATCGGCGATACACGAAAACGCTCTGTCATGCAGCCTGAACGGGCAATGCTAAAAACGCGCAGTCATAGACACAATGCACAACCATTAGCTTCTTCTAAACCAGTGACCGTGGTTTCAGAACTTAATAAGGCAGTAGTATATACGTGAGAAAGCCAATCCTTAATAAAACGTAAATCGGTTAATATCGAAGCATCCTTCCACCACGGCGGATCAAATCATTCCGGAGAACTTCAATCTCGAGCTATAACTAACGCGGTTATCTATTATAGACAGGCAAGGACATTAGCTTTTGTACGATTGGCCGGAGGGATACTCACGTTTTTAAATTGACGTACCTGTTTTATTAGAGAACAGCGACGCGAAGCAGGACTACCACGCAATGTCGAAGCGCCTGGATTCTTCGCTGTTTGTTTATCAGTAAAGCGATCTGTTGTTGTCTGCTCTCCTTAAGTAAAACCGGCTGTTGTCGTCCGCGTTGTTTAAATTGAGCGCGGGATGTATAAACGTGATGAAGCCAATCTGTAATCAAATGAAAATCGGTTAGTATAAAAATCGTACCTTCACACGACGGATTAAATCACTGTAAAGAACTTCAATCTCGAACTGCTATCTATTATAATTTATTATAGTGTTAGCCCACTTCATTTAAAGGTCGTTTAAAGACAGTTCACGGACGGCGCGCATAAGCTACAGAAAGACTTTGATTTTTCCAGAACTCTCAAGTATTGCGAAAACACCGACAGGTCCTCATTGGCCTCGCGCACTTCTCTTCCGTTGTAACTAAAAGACCGTCATCATCAGCTGGTGCCATGTCGCGGAACGCCATTTTCATTCCATCCGTTCATATATATATGTTTATAGAGCAGTCAATACAGATTCTGTAGTTAATTTTGTATAATATAACTATAGTATTCTACAGTTTACACTCAGTAGCTCATTCCATAAGTCACCTCAATCAGACGAATAAAATGCGTGATGTTAGTTTGAAAAGTAGGCGAGTTGCGTTTTGCGCTATAAGCCCGCCGTCTAAACCAATGCGATAATCTCACCTCGTATAGGGTATCTATATCCGATAAAACTATCTGTTGGGCCGACATGGTTAAATCGAAGATTTAGGAAGGTCTGTTCATAAATACACAAGCAATGCCTTTTTTCTGAAGGAATAAAAACACAGACCGTTTATGTAATACTAATGGCTGCTTATAGACATTATAGTCCGTAGCTTTTGCAAAATTGCTTTGGTAGATCAATTGAAAATGATCCTCGTGATAGCTGTTATACCTTCTTCAGGGGTATTTAGGGTAAATTTAACTGTGGTAGCGGCAATCTTTGACGTTATTTTTCTCGCAAGGGACTCGAAGTGGGTCATCACCGCGCTTTCAGGTGAGTGCTATGTTACCTCCATAAAGACTACTGCAGTCTTATGTTTTTTGTTATGTTGCAATGTTAGGTTGAATCCTTTTCACCGATAACTTGAAAGAGATGTAGACTAGAAAGCTAAAGACGCGGTTGGTGACAATCAAATTCTATTGAAACATTTACAGATGAATTTACCTACTACTGTTCTGAAAAAAAAGTAATAAAATAACCTTTAAATAAAAAAATATGTAGGCATTAGCAGTAAGCTTCAGCCGAGTAAAATCCATAAAGACCAAGTCAATAATATATATATGTTTCTTAACGGTTCAAGAGATTTGCATTCTTCAAATAATGTCAATGGCTTTGTTAAAGATAGCCGTTCCGAGGCTGTGTTATAGAATATTATCTTGAATGAGTATGAAGCAAATATGTTGGTGCAACTTAAGGGCTAACGGCATCATTCTTCATCAACAAATCAAAATACAAAGCACATCAGCATTTTCCAAAACTCATATAACGTTGTATATTTACATTTATGGTATTTGTGACTTAACATTCGTGTATGTTACAGTTCTGGTAAGTTTTCGATATTCGCGCAAATTTATAACCTTGCTGATTGATTAAAGTTATATTACTTTGCAAAATTTATACGTAATGAAGAAATATAAGACAAGGTTCCCATGTTTTTCGGTTCCTTACTTAAATAGTTTCCACTTATTATCTAGCAGAAATACCTAATGAATGAAAATAAGTACCTGAATTTTGCGAATGCAAGTTGTTTTTTAAGGTTAGAATCTCAATGTTCGTTCGTACCAGCAATTCGTGGAACGCAACTTCACAAATGAGTAATGCGCGTTGGCTAATTAAGGAAATCGTTATGGCTATTTTATGGGGTTAATAACAGGTGTGCATGGCACGCTACTGAATACTTGTATTAGAAATCGCAATACGTTGCGTAGATCAATCCAGCCAAGATTTGGTTAAAGTTTCGCGCCAAAATTCAAAATGAAGCGTTACCGGTATGTTTCACTTAGTGGCAAACGACCAGCTAAAACTAGTTCTGAAATTAGGTGTATGTAACTCTGAATAGCAGGCTTGAACAGAAATTTGCACCATACATTTAGGCTAGTATGGAAGACACACTGCGCAAAGGCAATGGATTGCCCAAAAGTAGGCTCTCCTTTCTAATGTAATTATTATTATATATCGGTCATTGAAGACTATTGGCAACACGTCCCGGCGGGCACGTGAAGAATTAAGATGGTTTTATTGCACTTTAACGAAGTTATACTAAGTGCAATAAGGATGTATGGCATAGTGCTAAGCAGAGATCTATGGCCTTTTAGCCTGTACGCCCAACGGGCGGTGTGTCTATATCGATGAAATAATATTTTTCCAATAAAATAATCAAGCAAAAGCTAAAAGATGGTACCAAGTGTTGAGCTTGTAGGGTGCGGTTGTTTCTAAGAAAAGACGCACGCACTGATGCTGCAGAAACGAATAAGTCCAACAACGCATATGGTTAAGGGTTTGACAATTTGACTTGTGCGCTTACCTATAATGTATAAACGTTTTGAGTAATAGGAACTGTCTTCTCTTCGAATAAGTGCAGCCTATTAATTTCTATGTTGATAAATGGATGGAAGAACGTGATATTTGACTCATATGGATATTTTCTTTAGCTGTTCAATTTTCAGCTGTCTTTCTTTGTCGGCAAATGGTAAAAAAATTGTCTAGGCCAGTGCATTTAATAGTCAACGGTAATTTATAGGTGAGTTATTGCACGATGTATATATATATGTATATCTTATGAGCTTCGACTAGGATGAAATGTTCTTTTATGGTGGAAGCGGTCTACATAATAGCCCGGCGTGCCACGCTTCAAATATTTGGTAAGGAGTATGATGTAGCCGGCAGGGTCGATTTGATAATCCTGGCATGGAACACTTTGATCTAGTAGCCCTCCACGTAATATAGCAATGAAGAGTGTTGCAACTGTTTCGGAATGTAGTTATTTTTAAAACCACCCAAATATACGTGTTTCAATTAGTCATATTTGGTATACAAGTTGTGTGTATTTGCGAGGGCTGCGCGCCGGTGCTAACGCCGTACACGTCAAAGAAGCTGATTCTTATTCAATGTAACGAAGTGGAGTAATGATACACGCCTGCATGAGAGTTCAAGAAGTATTATGGAACTGTTTTTAGGTCCGAAGCTTTGTTTGTGTGATTCTATTGAGTACCTTCGAACAGTGGGAAAAATATTCTTACATGGCAGTAAATAGCCATAATCTTAATTAGATCAATGCTCCATGATAATCTAACTTATAAACTTTCAATGCAAAATCCTTTCGCTGTTTTAAATGGTAGTCCAAGTTGATTTTGGACTTCAAAAATACGCATAGCTTTCATGGCATTTCATTCAAATGCTCGAAAAACCTTATAAATACGCATTTGTAGCATTAATTCTATTGTTCTACTACTTTTGAAATTATATCTATATTAAGGAGGGTTCCTTCCCTTGTACATTTAAATCAATGGAGCGAATAATCTACCACTAGTACAAACAATTTTTTCAATATCTTGGGTTGGAGTTGTTAGATTCCTCAACTTTGTCAATCTTGCTGATATGTGCCCCTGACCGTTACAAAAAATTGCTCCTTTCAGAAAAACTCTCGCAAACTCTTATATCGTTCTAGAATCAGTATTTTCTTATTAAGTAGGTATGTTAATTCTCATACAATAACGGTCTAACGAAAAATAAATACAATAGATGGAGCCAAATATTTTTAGATGAAAATTTTAAAAAGTGAAACTTGCACATTGTGTCGTTGATATGTACGGCATCTTTTAGCGAGATGGAAGACGTGACCTAAAGCGTCCCTTCAGTCGTTGTTAGACACTGGTCTGCAAGAGCTCGAGTCACCCTATGATTTAGAAGATGCTACTATCAAGCGTAGCGTATTCGCGCGATGTGTTCCTCATGGTGCCAGCGGAACTTCGTTGTTTAGGTGCGTTGTGTGCATGCCATTATATGTCGTTTATAGTGTAACTGATTTCCGATATGAGGTAGCTGGTCGTTGCTGGAGGCTATTTCGCCGTGCCTTCATTAATGTTAGTGTGACGAGGTGTTTCATCTCGCCTCAACGAGTGGCGTCGCAGATATTTCTACAAGTGAACACAGTATGCTAGGTTCGCTCAACGTGGTGGAGATCCATTACCGCAATAATCTAGAAGGTGATTCGTTTCCAACCGTATTATCAAAACCGTTCGATTGTTTGGTGTTACTGGGTACTGGTCGAGCCACCTCGGTCCGCCGTGGATGATTACCAACCTCTTCATGATTACCACTTCACATATAGACTGGTAACACTATCTACCGCTTTCGATGTACCTCCAGTCTACCGATGTTATGATTTGTTTCTCAGTTGGAAAAGAATGTCCATTCGGTACATGATGCGGAGCCGATTACTTACATAGAACTTAGAAGAGTATTAGAATGAAAAAAAACGCTACTGGATTTTATTCGATGATCGCCATGGTCACTCTCTACAGGGGCAGCAACGGTTAGTTACGGGCTTACCTAACGATGACAACGAACGAGGTACGAGTAACGGCAATAACCTAAATCTGTCTAAAAAATGTCTATGATGATAAAAACAGGTTTTCCCCATTTTTCCTTATACGATAGTTTAAAAGGTTTCTTAGAATTACCTTTTATTTGCTTTTATTTTTACGTTTATTTGCTGTAAATGAATCAGTTACATTGGCAAGCCTTCTTGTCGTCCTCTTTTGCATCGATATCCGATCCAGTTAGCTGCTCTCGTAAGCACAACAACTAGGGGCCCCATCAGACACATGAAACACTGAGAAATTTAGGTCGAATCACGCTAACGGTTGCCGCCATTTGATGAGGTTCTTTTCATAGCCGTGTAAACTGAATGTTTTTACATTTTTTTTTTTTTTGCTATACCATAAGCGTAAGTCACAGTTTCTGCTTGTACTGTCTACCAATACTTTAAACCTCCGTCGTTCCAAGTAAAAATATTGTTACTTTTATTATTAATAATTTTCCGTATGTTTTCCCAATTATTCAGCCGGTCTGTACCAGCCAAATTACGCTTGCCAAGCGTTTAATCCATTCAAAATGCGTTTTAAGCGTTTGCAATCATCCTTGCGATGATCGTTAAGGGTCAGGCGCGATACCTTTTTGCAGCCTTAGTCCTTTTGGGGGCTTTGTAATTTAATCTGCAATATGCATATGGATACATTGCGAATACGTAGTCGTTGCTGTAGGTGAACGTGCTTACGAAACACAACATTACGTTTTTCTTATTACACGAGTCAGGCTGGCAGAAAAACATACTCGATTACAAATTCAAAGATCTGATAATTCACCATTATTGCTGACGAATTTTTTGCAGCATTCGACATTACTCTTGCTTGGCATCTAATGAGAACTTGTAGAACTACAGAAGTGGTACTTCTGTTTGGGTTTTACAATGTATTTATGTTAAATGCGTCACCTTTGTTACAGTAACGCAAGCAGTATATTCTCCTTATCCTTGATTTTCACCGAAAGTACGCTGTTGTATTCTATTAGCTGAAGTCAATCGGAATATACGAATTTCGCCCAAACGCCTTAAGCTGCCCAGTCGGATTAAATCCAGTTCGGCGACGAAATATAGGAGCCCATCGGATGTTGGAATAATTAAAGCAAAATTTATCCAGTCGGCCTTTATGCTTTTTAAGGATTTCAGACAAAACATGCTGTCAACATATTAGCCTGGCAGGTAAAAATTAAGTCTTACCGATCATGCAGCAAATTGCCGACTGCGTCCTATTCCACTATTCACTGTAGGCACAATCCTGCTAAGACCTCCTCTAAGTGGAACTAATGTTGCATAGGTAGGAAGTTTTTTCATCTTTCACTCAGGAAATAGTACTGAGACGCTTGTCTCTGAAGATGTCGAAGAATTTCAGCTGCAGAGTTCGAGGTGGTACAAATGTTGCGAATGAAAAAAGTACATGACGTCCCAACACAGTTTGTTTGCATGACGGTTTCTTGACACAGCCGTTGAAATGAGCTTTACTTTTTAATGAGACCACTAATTTCATAATACGAGGAAAGCTAGAACGGCTATAGTGCTGTTCCACTGCAGCCTTGAATATTTGCTGCGGATGTTGACTTTATTTCAGGGTAACCAAAAAGTCGTCATGATGTCAGAGGCTAACGTTGTCAGAATAGTTCGTTTCGAAAGGATGAGGTCGTTGATCGTGAATCGTTGCAAAACGCATACACGAACTAGTTGTAGACAGAGACACGGATTTGCTCATGACACCCGGCAATGGTTAGATAATAATTTATAAGTTAATAATATTTCAAAAGTTAGCTGTTACAGTGCGGTAATTTGTAATTAAAACCGTATCTGGCGTAATGCTGGTATCAATCAATCTAGCTAGAAAGCTTGCGTCGATCGTTCTTTATGCCTACTGGGGCATTTATTTTCCGAATTAGATGTGCTATTCACGACCCCACTCATCTGCTCTAGCAGTAGTTAATACTCTAGTCTATGAGTTAATTTTTAATAATAGCAAAGATTACCAGATCCTCGCAATGCTACAGTGTTTGTCTACTACCCTTAGGAGATAGGTAATGATTTGAAATTAAATGTAAATACACTTAACTTGCAGTTAATTTAGTGCAAGGAGTCAACCGTCTCAAGTAACGCTTAACGGCAGTATAAAATCTAAATGCCTACTCATTTGGAAACCCTTAATTAGGATTGATCAGGCAAAAAGTAGGTTGTCGCATCGCGTAAACCCCGGCATGTCTCCCATAGTCAAACAGTTTTGATAGTAATTATTTTCAGATTAAATTGTGCCACTTCATTCTAGCACGGTAACCAAAGTTTTACAATAATTCCAAACAGGTTTGCACGACATTTTTTTTGTATCTGATAATATGCAATCTATATATTTACAGTTTTCTGTACTTAACAGACCGATATTTATTTGTCTCATCGTTCGTTGATTACTTCTTTTTCAAGGCAGAGTATTACGTATTATAGGCGGTCAATGATATCCTTGCTTGTGCCAGATTCATTCCAAACTATATATTATTAGATTATGAAAAACATACCTTTTTTTGTTGAATTATAAATTCAAGCTCCAGGGGTATAACTTGTTAGTGAGCTTCCGAGTTCAATTTTTGACCGCGTATCAAAATGATAATATTCTCTCTATATCGAGTTGCGTGATGATTCGTCGGTGTGTACTGAGCTGCATTCAAAATTGCTTTTGCCGCCCAGATACAGCTGACTATTGCGCCGAATCGGTGACCCATTTAGGTTTTGTTATTCTGCAATTGTCTCTGATTTTGGACAGTAACATTATATGGCCTCGTCTAACCCTCTCGTTGACTTTTGACGGCACAGGTCTCAGGATTAAAAAAGGCCGAAACACCACCACGTACAAAAGCTGTAAGTATATTTTGTTGAAATCTTAGATTCTATGTTCTCTCATAATCTATGTAAACAACAAATAAATAGAACAGGTTCTCACTATCTGAAATCTCTATCTGACAGCTGCACGTCGTACTTATACTAAAAACGATATGCAGCTATCTATACTATACATAATTCACCTTTTCAAAGAACAAAATTATTGTTATTCTTTTCAGTAAAATATATAATAAATGCTCAAGATACGCTAAGGGGTGCGTGTTCAATCTTGTTGACACTTTTAAGGGTCGTTGATATATACACGGTCATCGGTCACAGCTTTTGCTTCAGTTCCTTTATATAATCAATCAGCTTCAAGACCAACGGCGCTTCAGGTCGTTCGTTATATAGGCGATATACATCCGTGTCTGATCATACCTCCATTACGTATATGACATCAAGTTTTGTTCCTAACCTAAATATTGAGCGAAGTAAACACTTGTTTCACATACGATGTGAACCACCATCCCGTGCTTAATACTGGTACTATTAGATATTGTTACAAAGTACATTATTAACCGTTAGGTGTTTTATTGATAGAGGGCGCTTCGGTGGTACGATTGGCAGGCGGAAAAAATCAAAAGTCAGCATTAACATTTATCAATCAGACCTTTTTTTTCTCATTGGAATGACATGGTTGGCTCGTGTGGCTAAAAGTAGCTATTGGGTAAACTAAGGTCATAAATCTGGATGAGCGCCCACCTTGACACTTGTAAAACCGCAATTGACAGCGAAATTAGAGAGTGCTGTCAAATGTAAATCTAGCTCATTAAAACTGTCCAACAAATCATTTCAGACAAATTTATCTTTTCATTTTCTAGTAACCAGCTGACCCTAAAATGATAAAGTCTATTTAAAAATAAGTATCGCCCAATGAACTGGCTTAACTAACACATAATCAAGTCGAATTCATTTTGCCTCCTGCAGCGCGTTGAATACGTCCAACAAATGCTAAAGCCAAATGAATTTTTTTATCTTCCAAATAATTTACTGATCCACGGTGGAATAGATCTAGCTGAATATTATTATAATGCATTGAGTCCGTTTTTCAAGTATCCGTTCTCAAGAGTCCGTTTCTCATGCATTATCTGTCCAAGCAACAAGAAACAATTGAAGTAGTGTCATATCTGTAAAGCCTCAATGAGGAACGAGACCAACTGGCCATTGGATTAGTTTTCTTAACTTTCCGGTCCCTCAATTGATCGCAAAGCATATATTGTCGTGCCATCAAATATTGTTACTGGCTAGATATGTTCTACAATCATATAATCATTACTTTTGTCAGTACCGTAGACGACGGTGATAGGCCCGCTCGATCAGGCACATTCAGAGACGTCTCTCCTTCAAAAGGAAATGACACATCATACGTTTAGGAGCATTCTGTACACTGTGCGCACCAATAAAAAAAGAAAAAAAAAACTGTTGTTCTATAATCCTTTTAAAGAATAATAGAATAAAGACAATAATATTATTTAGGTGGAGCGGAATCATATCGAGCGGCACCAAGATCACTATAACTATAAAACAGTGATGGGCAACCCGCTCTTGATGACCGAATGCCTCGGATCATTGCGCTGTCTTCGAATCTCTTAGAGTTCTGTCCGAAATATCAGCAATATTTTTCAGTTGCGTTACCAATCCTGTTAGTCCAGCAATACTGAACTGTTGCTCATTTCGCCGCCGCTAAAAAGCGATTTGCTGCATTTTGTAAAGGAAATTTTCTTTGGATAATAATGACCCGCAGCCTCGACGTTTGAAGACGTTTCATGTGTCGTCAAATCAGGTATGGCTGGCGAAAATCCGCTTTAAGTTATCAGCAACTTACCGCTTATTAAATGGGAAAAACTCGACAAGCAATTTCTTCCGAGTCGCGTGTACGTTATGCGAAATATAACGAGGCTTAGCAAGATGGACAGCTTATGTGATGAGTTTTTCTTTGTGCTTTCCATTAAATCAGTTGAAGTGATCATTTTTTCGATGACTGGATTTTAACACTGTTAAAGAAGTTGCGAATTTATATGCACATCTAACGGTAACTAATAGAAATAGAAGTTAAACGACAATATAATTTGCGGAGAAGTTTTAAAGCTACTTCTTAATTCATCTAACATTGAAGCCATATTGTTGCCATCTTTAAAGGCCTCGAAAAAGTTCGAATCGAAGAACTTCGACGTGCGCAAAGGTTTTACCTAAGACGGCTGTTTGGGTGTAGCTACAATGGACATGTTAGCGAATGAACATCATTTAATAATAGCTGCCGTATTAATTCATAAGAAAACAGGAAACTGCAAATTAAACAGAAAACATACATTTTTTGTCTATTTCATTGACAACAATAAAGTGCTGCGAATACGTCTCGTATAAAATGAAAACTAATTTCTGCAACTGTATGCATTAATAAGTGCATAACCAGAAACTTGGGCATACGTAATTCAATATGCTATACCCCTTCGGATCAAGTTTACAACATGGACTATAGCTATCAGTTGGCTAAGAAGTGGCTTAAATCGGCAGTTAGGGAGGGAAAGAGCAACGTTATGGCTCAGTTAAAATTCAATATGTACTGCCTATACGTGTACTTTCTTATGCTCGGTACTGCCGCTAAGCGCTATTTCGGACGGCTGGCCAATAGTGCGAAAAAAAGTGGGCCTACGCCCACTTGACAACTTGAATCATCTCGTGTGTCCCAAGGATTCGTAGGCAAGCACTCTACCTACGACCCATCACGACGATTAAAACATAGTGTCTGTATTATTGAAACCTGGCTATGTAAGTAGTGCGTGAATTAAGAAGTGCGCGAAAATTTCATTCAGTTCTATTTTGCAGTACGGCTGTTCTTCTTGTCCGCGTCAGCATGTATACTTTTGATCCTCAACGTTGTATCGCACACTGCGAGACACCCGTAAAAGCGCGACTAACTGTCTTCTGTTGCTATAACCACAATAAATAAAAGCGTTTCTTAAAGCTCCAAATCGCAAATCGTCTCAAACCGTTAACTTTTCAGCCTGACTTTCATCACTGCGCAAATATTCATTTCTTCGCATCGATATTTGCAGATATTAGCTGAAAAAATTAAGTGGTGAAGCAGGACCAATGCAATCTGTCTAGAGAAAAAAAATTTCGTATGATTTTCATGAAAGCGTTGTTTGCAAGAGTAACTCGGACACAAACGGGGAAAATCAGTCAGCCCTGTGATAGCTTCGTAAGTAAAGTAGTTGCGCACCAATCTTGAAAATACGTTTTGTGCTGAGACCCAGCCATCTGATAAAATAGCCAGCGGCAATGCCAGAGTTAAAGCTCGAAGCGCAGGGAAAAACTAGTGATAGTGACGTTTCACATACTGTGGAATAATGGCTATCCTGCTTGCTACACAGTTCCTATGTGCTACATTTGTGGCTACGGAGCTACAGTTCCGTCTTCAGGAGTCTGTATATAAAAAAGAAATTGTGAATGTTATTGGTTTAGGTAGCAGCGTACTCTTCCTATCACACCATTCCAGAGCCTCGAACTTAAAATTACTTTTTTAATAGCCGTTGCTAACGCCGCAACGGAGATCTATTCAAATAATTTATGTCTATAAAAAGCTAGAGAATTATACATACAGAAATCAAAAGGACAGAGCTACTTGTTTTTTTTTCCACTTTTCCCAAGACTGTCCATTTGTTAGTCAAGCAGTCGATATCACAGGGCTATTTGTACTTACACACTTGCAAATTTGTTGATAATTACAATTATTAAGCGATATTTTTTTCTTATGAAAAAATTTCCTTCAATTTCTTGTGAAGACATTTTAGGAAAAATACTTTGTGAGCAAATTTTCAGGGTTTACGTGTTACAATTATTTCTAAGATCCGGGATCGTAGCCACTTGGGCCACGATGTTCTCCATTCGTGTGTCACTACTTTCTGGCAGAGTTTGCCGGACTAACTATATTCTGTGAAACTACAATTGCAATAGCAAATGCTTGATATTCGTAGAAACTTTGCATTTTCTAGATCTTTGAAAATAGTTGACTTCCGCGAGTGCGTACATATTTGACTTTTCCAAACTTCATAACGTAGAAGTTACAGGCAGAAATCTCAGTCGGAACGAACATCCCAATAACAGGCAACTTGTCGTTGGTCCACTACGGAAATTCAAGCTCCTCGATGAATCGAAAAATGTCTATAGTAAAAAATTAATTAAAAGTGCTTACAAGATACGCAAAATTTACAAACAGTCTATCAGAGACATCAATTATAATTATACATATATATACATATATAAATCCGAGATCCAGTTGAAAAGGATACCGACACAAGAGTGTCGTCAACAAGTGTGACAAATACAGAATTTCTTCGCCTTTCTATTCTACTCGGTACGATAGCGAAAGCAGGGGTGGCCATACACAAGGAGTGCCGTTTCGTGCGCATGGAATAACACCTGCATAGTAACAGGGATGGCCACAACTACAACATTAAAAGCCGGGTAATGATAACCGCTGCAACAAACAACACGTTTTGCACCTCTGTTCGTCCATGAAGGGCACATGCGTCGGAAGCTTATATCTCATTGATGCATGAGACCGACTTGTAAGCAAGCGAAAGAAACATGGTCTTTAGATCGGAAGTGGCACCCCGCAATATAAGCCTGCTTCTTGCAGATTTCGGTGGTGAGCTGAGGTGGGCTCATTTATGCCATAGGTAGTATCTCACAGTTCGGATTCGGGGTGGTTTAGTATACACATTATAGGGGCTAAAAGTCAGTCTCGGATTAAATACACTTAACAACTGCGAAATGGAAATTAAGTATATCGTTGTGGGAGGATCTATCCGTAAGGGATGAAAAGAGCTGCTTTGTCGCAGAAATCCTAGGACCTATTCAACAGGTCCATGTCATCCCACAGCACTTTAGGCAGTTTTGGGTGATAAATGATATTGAATTGTTCGCATTGTAATCGTCACCTGCTATCCTAACAAGAATATAGACACGTTATCTTC